TCACGAACAAAAGCAACGGCAACCACACACCATCCGCGAGAGGAATGCTTCACTCGGCCAGTCCAAGAAGTACGCGTTTGGTCGACGACAGGACGCCCCGAAGTACAATAAACAATAGCTTGCCAGCTATTGCTGTGAAACATCCCAACAATTCGAGCATTTCAAGTTCAGTCAGGGATGACGAGAGCCTTGCGAGCTATCCTTCGGTTCCAAGCTACATGGCACCGACAGAATCCACAAGAGCTCGGTCCCGCTCCAGCAGTACTCCCAAGCAAAGGCCTGCAACTCCAGACAAAGATGCAGCGAAGAAAAGACTCTCATATCCTTTGGCTGACGGCGTTGTTCCAAACTCCGGACCCTTACGTTCTACCAGAAACAGCGGAATCACGCAGAAGAGTCCGGGACTAAAAGGCAAGCCGGGAACAGGGATGTCTCTTCAGGATAGCATCGGCTCGGATGCTCCAATAGAGGAAGTTGTTGGAGAGATCAAGTGTTGTCAAGCTACAGTTTTGGACTAGAACAGGGAGCAGAGCAGGAAACTCGCCAGAGTAATGATTGCTTTGAAGCGATAAATCCTCCAAGAATGGCTTCAAACGTTTCCATGCCGCTGAGTTCGTTGTTTCCCAGGGCCAAAGAGGAGATTACACTTCGGCTTGAGTTGATGTAAGGCCCCAGCTCAACTGACGTGAGATTATTTCCAAAAGCTGACAGAGATGTGAGAAGTGGCATGGATAGAAAATACTGAGGCAACCGAGAAGGTTGTTTGAAACATCAAAATACTCCAAACACGAACAGTTTTGCAGCGTCCCAGGTATTTCACCACGAAGAGAGTTGCCAAAGAGCTCCAAAGTGCGTAGCCTAGAATGTCTTCCTAGCCATTGCGGAAACAGGCCTACGGATCCAACACTTGATGCTTCTAGAACCTCTAGCTTTGAGCAGTTCGCAAGGGTTGCCGGAAGTAAGCCTGTAAAATTGTTGTAAGAAAGGCTGAGGTGACGCAAGTTGAAGAGTTGTCCCAGTGACTCAGGAATTTTGCCTACCAAACTGCCCCTGGTAAAGAGGCTAGTGACACTCAGCTCCTCGAGGCTTGAACAGTTTCCTAAACTCTCTGGGATTTCTCCATCCAGCAGCGCATTTTTGTTAAGCAAATGCTGCGGAGCTTTTGTAAGCGTCCTAGAGAGGCTGGAATTCTGCCTTGGAAAGAATTTCCTTGCAGATCCAATAGCTCCAGCTGGGAACAATTTGCCAACTCGTCTGGAATCTTTCCCACCATAGAGTTGGTTGATAAATTGAGGCTTTTAAGTTGATGCAGACGCCCAACAGCTGAGCTCAAGATGGCAGCAAGCTGGATGGAAGCAACGTGTGTGTGAGCTGAATTACAAACGATACCTGGCCAACTACACATGTTAATGCTCGCGTTCCAGTCACGCAAGACACTTGAGTTGTTCAAGGCTTGCTTGAAGTCGAGAAGAGCCTGGTTATCACCATCCAAGAGACAATATGCTGGTTGTAGCAGCTGCAGCAAGATTAGCAAGAAGATCATCGTTCAGCTACTGTCCGGCCCCAAGTAGCTCAAAGATTCTAGAGCACCCTTCTACAGATATTAAATGTGTGTAGACGAATGCTTTTCAAGTTGCTTGTGGAGCATCACCTGTCACTATCTAAAGCTGAAGAACTTTCAATGTTACAACACGTTTTTTTCTTTGATGAGTGGTCACATTGTGTTCATCAGCGGTGGTCAAGCATCGTCAAAAGAAACAAAACACCACCAAAATAACGCCAGAGCAACAATAGAGAAATAGGCTTGAAGTATACGGCATTGACTGACCTCAAGATGTTGTTGACATCAATGCTGCCCAGTCGCGGCAGCGAAATCAAGACAATGCATTCGAGTAGCAGCAGCAGTGGCAGCAGCATTGTGTCGAGGGCTGCGATCTAAAGAAAATTCCCACTCGTGAAAGCTAGAAGTACTTGTGTAAGATAGAAAAGAATGCTTGTCTCGACGCTCTTATTTTGCTCGATGGATGCATTTATTCCATCCCAGGAGGAGGCCACACCGCTGGATTCGCGCACTGCAACCAATTCATGGACCGCATTTATGGAACCATCGATCCCACCATGAATCCCTCCTACGCCGCCGAGCTCCGCCAGGCGTGCCCGAGGGGCCCGAGTCTGGATCCAACCGTGGTCACGCACCTCGACCCCTCCACGCCCGACCTCTTCGACAACGCCTTCTTCAAGAACACACTGCGGGCGGCTGCGCTCCGACCAGGCCCTCTTCTCCACCTCCAACTCTTCCGCGAGGCCGCTCGTCAATCTCTTTGCTGGATCGCAGCCGCGATTCTTCGAGGCGTTCGGCGTCGCCATGGACAAGCTCGGCGGCATTGGCGTCAAGACGGGAGGACAGGGAGAGATCCGCCGGGATTGCGCTGCCTTCAACCTTCAAGCGTTTTGAGCGTTGGTCGTCCAGGAAACCAAGGTGCGCATCTTCATGCTCTCAAACGTGCTCCTGGCAGCGCTCAAGTTGAAACTTGCGTGAGACAATGGTCTTGCGCAGGATCTCGTGAACGGCCTTGTCAAAATGCCCATTCTCGCAAATGCGAGGATCCACGGTACTGGATTCTTGGCCGAAGCTGTTCTTCATGAGGGCGACGAAGCCTTGGTGGCTGTCGTCATCGCCGTCCATGCACCACGTCTTGATCCGGCATGAAATCAAAGATCTCTTTGGCGGTCCCCCTCTGGTATTCACTCATGGAACATCCTGTCATTCTGGGCAGTAGATTCGTCCAGGACATGAGATCCTTGGCCGGCGTTTTTGCCCAAGGTCTATTTCGCTGCCACAATTTGCCCCTGCTGCGCGAGCGCCATTATCATCGAGTTCCATGGCGCTCTGAGACGCAATCAAACATAGACTCTCACTCTCGGATGCGGGATGCCGCCACATACGCGGTGATCATCGCGTTCCAGGAGACGATCACGGAACTCCTTGTTCTTGGAATTCTCAAGATGCCCGGACTGGGCATACAGTGTACCGAGTGCCCTGCTCGCATTTGCCAGCGAAAGGGAATATCGCGCGATCCAAGAGCCTGAACCCTGCGCGGCGGCGTGGATCATTCGTGGCGTCGCGCCTGGGGGATCGGCACGATAGAAGATTTAGCTCCAGCAGCGCTGCCGAGAGCGACTTTGCGGAGAAGAGAAATCCCTCGTTCATACAAAAAAATTTGATTGGGTCTCTGGCTGTGGACTCGAACCTGTGACCTTGCCAATATATATTTTTATTCTAGCCAGATATCCGGCCATCAGATTCCCGTCCGAAGTGTACACCAATTGCTTCTTAACGTATACCATAATGTAAAGGAGTACCCAGGAGGACGAATCGAGAAACTCTACTGGAGTGTGACGGCGAGGCAGCTGATGCTGCAAAATCCGGGTCATTACGTTGGAATGTTCGTGTGGCCAAAGGCATCGCAAGAGATTTTCGTTTTGTGGGCGCATGGCGCTCAGCTCGTTGCTGCTGTCAAGCTCAAGAAAGAAACCATTCTCTTCTCAATGGAATGAAACTCAACTCTCACTTGCTCCATGCTCTGGCGAGGCCATGGCAAACAAAACGGGTTGGATGGACTCTGCATCTAAATCTGAGCAAGCAGTTGATGTAGAAGCTACTTTTGAGAAACAAAGTATAAGTACGCTGCAACAAGAACCCGCAACATCTATTGTTCTGGAAGATGGTTTGTCTGAGCTCGAGTTTGATTTGATCCAGGCACCCTGGTCCTGGGAATCTATTCTTCACTTGGTTGTCAAAGCTGGAGGTCCATAGGTTTGGATCCTTTCAGATCCTCGGAGCGTGAGACTCGGAGCTCCAACTTTTGATGCCTTTTCTTGGCAATAATATATTGCTCTGAAACCGTGAAAACTTACTCACCCCCAAAAAAAACTCCAGGGTGGTTGCACCAGAGATCCAATAAACCTCTGAGAGCCTTGACCGAGCTCAAAATCAATCAGCTGAGAACAAGCTTTCTCAAAAGTTTCCAAAGAGCAGATGGCATAACACAAAAGTATACCAGCTCACAAACTCATCTCATCACAAGTTGCATTGTGGTCACTCCACGCCTTTGGATGTTGATGAACTACAGGCCTCCATTTTATTTTGGAAAATACTCGAGGCCAAAGGGTGGCGAAGATGAGGAATGAAGCAATCTGGACTGGACAAGAGTATAAGCAAAATGAGCACGAGAAGAACCATACATCAACTTTTATTCCTCAACTAATGACGTCAAGCTTAAAAAGTGCATGACCATCATATTTATTATTTTATAATGCCTTTGATAATATAAGTTGGATAAATATTATTTTGTTCAATATTCAGTGAATTTTTTGTGTTGCACGCAATACATGTGGTGCCCCAGACGGACAGAATGTGCCTCTCTTTTGAATTGGCTCATGAATTTAGACAGAATATGCAAGAGGTAGAGGTTAAATTCTTATATACACAGCCAAGCTATCACTTAAGAGCCTTTGTAATGATGTGCTTTCTCCCACAAGATCTACTTATCGCTTGAAAACATAGCTCTCCAACCTTGCGTAGGCCATTGGTGATCATTTTATGAGGTTAGGTTCCCTCTTCAGGCTTAAAGGGCCTCTTGCAGATGCTCAAGTTGATTATAGATGGAAGGCATTTTATCTAATTTATCAATGAGGTTTTAGAATTCACTAACATAAGAAGGTCTGTAATAAACACATTTGTGACTGAATTAAGGATATACAAACAAGAGTCTGGCAAAAAATCTTACAGGCTCGTGTTATTTATGGAGCTTGGGTTGACATGATTTCAGTGACTTTCTTGAAGATCTTAAATTAGAAAAAGAGTAGGGGTACATCAAGCCCGCTGCACAAATAATATGGACTTCCATCGAAACCTCATTGTCTCTAAGCATAAAGTAGATTTTTTTGATAGAGGTCCATGTTGTTTGTGTGGTAAGCTCGATATAATAATACTCTTCCCCTGCAACTTGCACTCGTTGACACTTGAAATTTTCAAGGAAGTTCCTGAGATCCAGTCAGCCCACTAGCACAAATAACACAAACTTGTAAAATTCCTCACCACAGACTCTTGCTTGTATATCCTTAACTTAATCATAAATGTGTTTACCACAAACCTCCTTATGTTGCTGAGTTCTAAAGCCTCGTTGATGAACCAGATAAAGTGCTTTCCATCCATAGTCAACTTGAGCATCTACGAGCCCCTTAAGCCTTTGTGGGACGAGCAATGCAATCCTCCATGGCTATTCTAGACCAACTTCTCTATCAAGAGGTCAAAGAACTCCTCGGCAGCTTCACTGTCTTTAGCAGTTAGCAGTGTTGCAGGCATCAGCAGCAGCGACCATGGTGGTGACGACAGACAGATATCCTTTGGCGAAGGCAGCACTAGCTAGAGCGTACATGAGCGACAACTTACCCGATTGCCATGGCTCGGTGATGAGGAGCCAGTGCTTCTAGTAGGTGATCTTGGTCACCAGTCTGGCCACTCCACATAGAAATGGGTTGATCGTGTTGCCCGCCAAGAAGATTCTCCTTGGCCGCAGATCCTCAATTCTCGTGTGCTTGTTGCAATCCTGCAAATATGAATGGATAAGTGAAATAGCATAACGCATGGCTAATACCTTCTTCTCCTCCTCCTTGTGTTCACCTCTTTCTTCTTTCTCTCGTCCGAGCAAGCTATATTCTTCTAGTATTGCGAGTAGAGAAACCTGCAAAACACTGTCAGATAGGCATCTACAAGAATCATTTACATACCCCGTTCGTTGTATTGTGGACTTCAATGATTCAAGAAGATCTGCAAACGGCTTGTGAGAACTGATCAAAGGAAAATAAAAAACAAAGAATCCGAACGCACTGGGGAGTTTGGCCACGATGACACGAGCTCTTTCTGCACGTTTTCGATTCAAATGTGCTCCCCTGGTTGCTTTGAAGCGGCCTTCATCCTACAAACAAAAATGACGAAGTGAAATGGCATAACGGCCATACCTTATTGTATCCTTCAAGCCAATTTTCTTCTTCACACGCGCTAATCCACCGTTCCATTCTTTCCATTAGATCTTGTCTGCCGAGTGATTCTTTCTTCGCCTCGGCAATACTACTTTCAATTGTACCAAGTAGCTCTGACAAGTCCACTATCCTTGTGCACACGAAACATCAGCCAAGAAATTGTAAGCAGAATAAATTTATACCTGACTCCAGTAAACTCGCCACGTTTTCTCGAGTTAGATTTGGAACACTCCAAGTGAGCCATGTTGCAAGTTTCTTCCAACTCTGCCTGCTTCTTCAGCACAAGCTCCTTCATTTTGTTTATTATCAATCGACTTATTCTATCCACCTCCTTTTCAGCCTGTAGAATCGAAGTAAGAGAAAGAACAAAGCGCATGTGAAAGAACCTGTGCGATGGTTTTCAAAGTAAGAGATGAAGGCTCAGGTTCTGGTGCCAGAAGATTGCGGATGATATTTCGAAATGGTTGCCTTTTTCCCAATGACGTGTCCATTAGATTCCAGAGCTCGCATAAGAGAGCAACAAGATTGTGAATCTGCAATAAAAAATGGAAAGTAACGCGTCAGCAGTTTCAAAAGGCAAACCGCTGTCACCTTTTGCAGTCTTTTGCTTTTCTCGTTCTTCATGTCCTCGACCGCCTTTGCTAATTTCTCAAGCTGGCCTGGATCACAAAGGCTCGAATGCACTTCCTTAAAGACTTCCGTGTAGTCTGCCCCCAAAAGGACGCAATATCCGTGCAGAACCTCGAGAAGCTCCGACACTTTGTGAAGCCGACTACTCTGGAAAAGTCTCTTGTAAGAACAAGAATGGCAACCGTGCATACACACACAAACCAACCTTTTCATCCTGAAGCTCTTGAAGCTGGCAACGGTACTCGTGCAGCTTCCTCAGCGACAAATCTTTCCAGCAAAAGGCTCCATTCTCAGTCCCTTGCAATGTCCCCGACGACATCTCCTGAGAGAGCCTTTGAATCTGGCACGTCCTCAAATTGCTTCAGGCGCTCCTCTTTCGTCAGCCGCAATAATTCTAACTGAGGCGAGACGGACAAGAGCTACTCTCGCAGAGTAGTGCCCGACCTCTTCTCTAACTGAAAGGAAGAACAACGAGCATTAGAAAGGCACTATGAGATGGATCAAATAAAGCGTACCATGCAAGGGCGATCACTCAGGAGCGACAGCAGCAACGTGAGCTCCGTCCAAGAGCTGGTGCAGCTGCGCCATCGCGCAATTCTCTTGATCCACCTTCCGCCGGTACACATCCAGGCATTCTTGCTCCAGCTGGAGCAGCATTCTGTCCCTCTCCTCGTCGCTCTCCCCCATCTCGTCCCAGATGCTCGTGTCCTCGCCTTCCATGGCCTCCGATTGGAAAAGTACTGTGAGATGAAGAGATTGAGAGATGGATCGAACAAAGCGTACCATGCAAGGGCGATCATCCAGGAGCGGCAGGCGCGACGCGAGCTCCGACTCGGAATCCGCCAAGAGCTGGTGCAGCCTCGCCCAATTCGCTTCATCCACCGTCCGCCGGCACACATTCAGGCATTCTTGCTCCAGCTGGTGCAGTTTCCCTCTCCTCGTCGCTCTCCCCAATCTCGTCCCAGATGCTCTACGCGCGGCCGATTCACCGCGATCTTGAGAAAATTGCAATCCAGACGCAATATTTCGCGAGGACGCGAGGGTTACCTGGAGCTCCCGCAGCAGCGATCTGCCTTCCATGGCCTCCAGAATCAAAATGCGAGGCCCAGATCAATCAAGAATCCTCCGCGAGAACACCGCCGCCCTCGGCCATCACCGCGATCGAGCGGCAACCTAAACCGAGGGTTTTATTTTACCGCCTAAATTAACGAATAATCTGCTAACTGTATCCGTACTGGCGCCTACGGACACCATTGAAATTGTTACAATAGCCATTGACCAACTTTGGTGTAAGTGCTTTGCATAAGTTTTAATGGCTAAAACCAACACTTTAGACATTAATTTTGGTATAACAATTTGTTGAAGAACTTCATAAGCATTCTTTTGCAGCAATTCCTATGGAGAATTAATAGTGTTGCAAAATGTGTTATTCCATGAAATAGTGTGGATTCATAATCTTCTTAAAGAGATGATCTTAGATAGGGATTCAAAATTTACAGTGCTAGAATGCATTGCAACTTCCTAAGCTACTTCTCAACTCTTTGTTTACACTTTTAGTAGATAGGGCAAAAATGGATATAATCCACTATATCATCTTCCATACGAAACTATAAAATTTTTTTTTTGTTGCAAATGTGACTTTGGGTATTGAAGGTTACTTGTCGGTTAACTTACGGACACTCTTTCCTTACTACCACAACGGTAGGAAGTCGGTATTGCTGGATCCTTTATTAGTCCTTCTTGTGTTAGTAGAGTTAATTGGGCATTTCAAGTGTACTTAGACTAAACGAGCATATAGATGGAATTCTTACATGCTATTACCTAAACATAGTTAGCTTGGTAAGGAGTTCTTGTCCCATTGTGACTGAGGGACTAGTCTCTTAATATTGCTAGATGATAACTTACTATATTTGTCAAACACTTTTACTATTATGCCCTTTGTGTTAGTTTCAATTCGGTCCCAAATGCTATTTATGGAAAGTATCTAGGCTTGCTCATTTGGCATATCTACGGAATATAGAGATTGTCCTGAACACAATAGTGTTCGTCCCATGTCCAAATTCACAATCTAAGGACATTCCATGTTTAGTAAGTTTAAAGTTTATCCCAAAGACTAATTTTTGATATTAAGGGAGGCTTGGGGTGAAAGCCCAAAGCATGTGTTCCTGAAGGGGGGGGTAGTATAGTGGGTAGGTTGGGCATGGCTGACCAACCTAAGGCATAGTCTAGCTTTCACTTATATGCTTGTCTTTGTTCTGTGTTTGGCTTGGGTCTAAGCCTAAACTTCATTCTTGGTGGAATACCCATATTTTTTTGTTAGGCTACCAGTATGCTAAAATAGCACCAGACTCCATTTGGCTCTGTTTTGCATGTTGGTTCTAGCATTAGGATGTTGGATACTCTAGGATTATTCCAAGTTGCTCTATGCTCTTGTCTCTTCACTCTTTGGGCTGTATGCTCAGGAGTTGTTCCGTGCTCCAATGCCATTGCTCCTTGGCTCCATACTTAGGAGTTTAGCATTGTTCCTTCATTTAGTGGCCCAAGGCCCTAAAACTCGGGTTTCACACCATTATCTTTTAGACATGAGGCATATAACACGTGGCACATAGAGGGTTTAGGTTCTGGTTCGTGGTTATCCGATGGTAAATCATCATAAGATAAAGGGTAAAAACCACATACACTATGCTTTTTCAATGAGATAAGAGTTTTTCATTTGCCACCATATCCTACTACTAGAACATTATGATATTCTTGCAGAAAAAACTGTCATTGATCCTTGGATGGAAATACAATATTTCTTGCTTATAGTAAATAAGCCTATCCTTAATTGAGAAGTGGAGCTTTGCATTAGCGTGACTAACAGCTTTTGCCACTTTACTGCAACAACTCTACGTAGTGCAATATCACTTTTGCCAATGAATCACTTCCATATGAAGTTTAGACATCCTCCAACTAGTTTGAATTGATTACCGACATTGCCTAGAATTGAGCTTGACAACTTAATACATTTGGAACAATATTGTCTTTATTAGGTTTGTAGATGATTTTAATATTGAATTTAGTGAGCTTCTCTTTTTGGCATAATGTTTCACTGCGTTGCAAAGTAGTTTGGTGTGTTACTATAAATATAAATCTTGGTATATCCACCCAAATAGTGTTTTCAATATTCCAATGCTGATATTACAACGAACATCTTTTTCTTATGTGTAGGCTATCTTTGTTAAGTCTTATCCAATTTCTTAAAGTAAAATACAATGAGACAACCATATTGCCTTAGTATAACACTAATTACATTATCAGAATCTGCTATAACATAGCATCTATAGCATAGACAGATGCATCACAATGCACTTTGAAAGGTTTATCAAGATTTGGGATCTTGAGAACATGAACTATAATCAAAATTTCCTTCAACTATATAAAAACATGCTGACAAGCTAATGTTTAATGAAATGGTATATTACCCTTCGTTAACTCAATCAATGGAAAAGTAATACTTGCAAAATTGCAAACAAACTTGCAATAGTATCTCGTCAAATTGAGAAATGAATGAACATCTTATATAGTGGTCGAGACTTCCCAAGATTCACTGCTTCTACCTTCTTTGGATCCATCTCGATTATGCCACCACTAAATATACGTCCAAGAAAGTTTATATGCAATTAACCAAAAGCCTATTTATTCTTTTTAGCATAGAGTTTATTTTCTTGTAGCTTCTGTAACACTAACCCCAAGACATTTCACTAAAAACTAGAATATCATTTATATATAAAATAATAAATATGTCTAAATAATCTTTAAATATGCTATCCATCATTATATTGAATGTAGTTGAGGCATTATATCACCCGAATGGCATAATAATCAGCTCATAGGTCTTATAACAAGTCTTAAAGGTTGTCTTCTTCACATCTTGATTTGCCATTCGTATTTGATGATACCCAGACCACAAATCAAGTTGTATAAAATATTTAGCCTTTAAAAGTTGGTCAAACAAGTCATTAATACAAGGCAAAGGATAACTGTTTCTAACCGTAATTTTATTAAGAGTTTAATAATCAATACACATCTTGACGGTACCATTCTTTTTTATAACAAAAAAGACTAACACTCCATAAAGTAATTTGTTTGGTTATGTATGACTTTTGTTAAGAAGCTTTATGAGTTGCTTCTTAAGTTCAATCATCTTTTTGATGTTCAAATAGTATAGAGCTTTTGTAGAACCTGAAATAATTTTAATTCAATGATCTACTTTATGGTTAGAGGGTAGGTTTAATGGTAAATCCTTTGGAAAGATATCCTAATTCCTCACTAACAACTTTAGAATTTCCCTCAGTATAAGATTAATACCATCACTAATACAAATTGAGTCACTATCACCCTTAATTTCCATCACTTTAACCTAAAAGGTCTAACATCCTTTCTTAGTTGCTTTTTGAATTACTCCCATAATTAGAAATTTAGCATCCCAATCCTTTAAGAAGTGTATATGCAATTGAGGGACATATTAGAACATTTTTCTGACTTTAATATGATATGACTTTGTTTAGCACCATATATTTCTTGGATATACTTATTGAAGAAATCCATACCAAACACTATTTGAAAGTTTGGTATCTTCAATATTATTAAATCCAATCTTTCTTTCTACTTGGAAATTTTTATTGGAACATCACTTGTAAATTTCTTAGCTACTTACCCACCTATAAACAAAAAGTGTATAGGCAACATTTGCTCAACTTTCAATTTTAACAATTTAACTAAGTCTTTAAATATCAAATTATGCATAGCTTTCATGTTGATGATCACTCAAATTTAATGTCTGTAGACAAAGCTTATAAGATACATCAATGGATGAGTGTTTGCATTGATTGTGAGAAAAGTTTGAAGAAAGTAATTCATCTCCTCTTCCTTATAATCTATATTAACCAATTTACCAACCCCTTTAACTTCACGATCACCGTCTTCTCTTATGATATTGACACAAGACCTTGTTAGGTCATTTTTCGGTGGATATGAACTTTTAATAAAGAGACTGCCTTGGGTGCACTGGCAAGTAAGGGGTGCTCTAAAGTCATGATGTATAGTTAAAGTGCTTAGTGTAAAAGCTTGGCATATCTAATTTGAATACTTTGGTGTAAATAGCATTGAGGATATAATGTATAAAATAGAACACCCAATCTTAGTTGCTATAGACATTTGGTTAAAAGGGCTAGAACTCACAATAGAAATGTTGAAAAGACTTGCTAGGGTAAACATTTTATGGATTTAATAAAATAGAGCTTTTACTATAAAATTGAAAGGATACCTCAAGAATAGAAGTGGTGATCCTATTTTCCTTGGTGCAACAATCAAATGATAGGAGTAAAAGATTAGTAGCTAAGAATGGGGTTTAAAAATTGTTGGAATGAATCTAAATGATAAATTAGTTGAAGAGCCACTATATGGTGGATGCTAATAGATTGTGAGAAAAGAAATATATTTCCAAAGATAGAATTCCCAAATACTTCAATTTATTGATAGTGAAAACTCCAAAAAATGGAGTAGCAAGGTAGCCAAATGATAAGGCCATAAATAATCTTAACATAAATTATAGACAAGTGGAACTTAGTGCTTAAGATGGCGAGAAAATGATAGTACCCTTAAGTAAGGAATTTATTAGAATGGGGAAGTGGAGTTTGTATAACTTATACAATGTAAAATGTCAAACACATCTAAAAAATAAACTTGAGATGTCAATATTAAAGTTTTAATGTGTGATAGTCATTTTGGTAAAGGCCAAGACTACTCCAGAATGAGTAATAAGATTAAGATAGATAAAGTGTCTTTAAGTTTAGCAATAACTAAATGAACAAAAGGAGAGAACCACCACATGTGATCTAATAGTACTCTAATTTGATGCAACTATACTCCTTAAAAGATGGGCAAAGATAATAAACCTTTAGTGTTGAACCATTGACGAATATTAGTTTGGTGCTAAAGATGAAAATGATAATCCATGATAGGTTTATTTTATAAAATGGTTTATTGTTCAATGAAGACATTGAACTTTGTCTGAGTGGTGGAGTTGTGAGATACAAATTGATAGTGCATATGTGTTAGTCAATTTCTCAATTAGTTTAGATAGAAACTATAAAAAGAACTAGTAATACTAATCTTTTATTGTTATAGTAGTAAAGAGAGAGTGTCTATAAGGACTGGCCGACAAGTATCTTTTAATACATAAAATTACATTTATGACATCCATGTATGAGAAAAAAATTCTTATAATAATTTAAATACATCTATATTCTTTTTTTCATATAAGTGCAAGTTTTTTCCAAACCATCCATCCTAGGTACACTTCCCTATTTCCCTATTGAGATGTGTACTTTCCCCAAAATTGAGATCATATAACTTTTGATTATACTGTCCATACCACTAAACAAAATCTGACTAATTAATTCTGTGTTACTTTTACAAATTTACTAATTTGTATAAGTCATTTTTTTCTCTCAATCTAAAACTTGGTTATGTTAATCAGAAAAATGGATACTCTTCACTCGAAGTATCACCACAATTATTGTCCACTTCCTCCACACTATCGTCCCGGCCGATCAAATCCAGTAACTCCAGCTCGGCCGAATTGAAGATAAAGTGGGCATTCTCGGCGTGGATGAAACAAACCACCTGCACCGCGTCACCTCTGGCCTTGAAAACGTAGTGCTCAGAATAGCTGCACGGATAGAGATACAAAAAGCAAAGCTGGACCTTCTCGCACAGCTCAAACTCCTCCCGCTGTTCTTCCCGGATCCCTGACCTGGAGATCGCTTCCTCGAGCTCGGCCTGGCTCAGCTGGTGCATCCAGTAGCTGTACTGATCAAACCCATCGAACTGGACGCTGGGAGCTTCCGCTTCTCCTCCTCCTCTCTCGAATCCGATCCGAAACGCAGCGTTGGGACCGAGCAGCTCGGGGCACACAAAGGTGGTGCACCTCCGCTCCTCGGCCGGTTTGGACCGCTCCAAAAGAAATTCCCGGAGGCTGTATCCCTCGCAGCTCGCGCACACCGCCGACTGCCCCTCGAGGATCTCGCTCTTTAGCGCCGCCACCGCCTTGAGCTGCTCGGGGCATCCGTCGGCGCCCAAGATCTTGGAGAACAGCGGCATGTTTTGCATCACCCCGCCGTGCTGCTTCCACATCCGCTGGAACGCAAACGGGCCAAAGTTCTGGTACAAGAACCCCTGGTGGCTCGTGCACGGCTCCATGTCGGGGCCGATGCGAGACAGGAGCTCGTCCTTCAAGCTCAAGCTGGTCTTCCCCTGCGTCACGTCCCGGAAGAAGTTTGCCGCCGCTCGCAACACCAGGAACTCGTCCACCGCTACGTAGTGACCCCCGCTCTCGCTCGCAACCAGCCGGCCAAAACCAGCGTCCGCAATCTCCTCCACCCTGTGAGACTCGGACTGCGTGTCATGGATCTTGATGCCCCTCCCGAGGCAAAAGTAGCTGATCACGGCCCTCTTCATGAAGCCGATGAGCACTGTTCTCTGCGAGAGCTCCGCGAGTTTCCTGTAGTACCCCTGCGGCGCTCCTCCCTCGGTTGTCAGTAGTCTCTCCACGAAGAATGCCGCTTCCTTGATGCTCCACACTCTGTTGAGAGCTGTTTCTACCACCTGGACGAAGGGCCCAAACCTCCCTTTAAACCTCGGATAAATCTCCTGCTCTATCACGCTGCGATCTTCCTCCGTCAACTCTACCGCCTGTTCCGTGAACTCGATCATCTCCCGTCCGCTCTTCCAGCACCCGAAATCACCACAGACCGGTACCCTTGTCGAGTTCCCGCCCTCGTATCTCAGCGTGTATCCTGTCCCTGAAACTACAACTACGTGCTTGGTCTGGGCCAGCGTCGGCTCCAGCAAGAAGTTCACCACGTCGCGGTAGAAAGGCCGGCGAGAGACAAAGAAGTCGTCCTCGAACGCGCTCACCAGCTTGTGGGCTTCGTCGATGGCGATGGTGGGGAGCCGGTCTTCGAAAGGCATACACAGGTCGTCCAGCACCTTTTGCAGCGCCGGGATCTCCTTGACGAAGTTCTCCGGGGCCAGAGTATCGGCTTTCCGGCACACCGCGGCGAGGAAGATCCGAAACACGTCCGTGTCGTCGGCCAGATTGGCGTCGGGGTGGTAGAGCCCTTTGCATCCCCCCTGGAAGATGAGCCACTTTTCTAGATCAAAGTCCCGGCACAGCGACAGGATCGACATCCTCACCAGCAGCAGCAGCAGCGTGAAGAACTTGACCACCACCGAGTTCTGATAGTAGTTTTTCTGCTCCAGGTGTTTGGGGAGAACCTCGTTCATGAGAAACTCCAGGTCGGAAGATCCGCCGCTGCCGACAGTGCTGGTTGTGAAAAGCAATCCTCGCTCCTGTGACCAAAGTTTTAGAGCTAGATGAAGAGAGAAAAGAACTTACTTGTTTGGAGAAGAACGTGTAGAGCGACTTTGTCTTTCCACACCCGGTGCTTCCAGCGCAAATCACAAGCCTGCCACCGCCATCGCGAGCTTTGGCGACTTGCAAGCTCAGATTCTGGGCGTTGCTGTAGTCGAAAGAGGTGAGCCGGTGGAAGAGCATGCACGGCATCTGGTTGAAGAAGGGGATCCCGACGCTGCCCTTGGTCACGCATTTGGCCAGCAGCAGCTCACGCTCCCGGAACTTGTCGAGAATGGCACTGATCTCCTGGGGCACCTGGAGCGCCTTGCGCCAATCAACACTGCAAGGCCTCCGGGACACGTCTGGATCAATCGAGGTGGTAAAAGCTTTAGTCAAAAGGATAGAAGGAAACAAGAAGGAGAACATGAGAGAATTAAAAGAGAGAGATAGATGAGAAACAATGGAGAACTTTTGAGAAGAAACAATGGGGAGAAGAAGAGAAAGAGAAAGAGAGAGAGAGGAAGTGCTTACGCTGCTTGTTCGCCATCGCCCGCGTCGCTCATTCTCTTTTGCTTTGTTGCCTGCCAGCCCTAACCCTAATGGCCAAGTGGCGGGAGAATCTCCAGCCGAATATGCTGTTCTTGAGCTTGATCAAAAGAGCGATGGAACCACCTCGTAGGCGAAGGCGCCCGCCAGGCCGGTGGCGGAGATACACATGATCAGATGCGTCCTCGCCAGGAAATTGGCCATGGATCTCACGGACACCAGCGGCAGCGTCAAGACCTTCGAATCCGCGAGCTTGGCCGGCGGCTTGAGCGCGTCGTGGAGCAAATACGCGATCTGGAACGAGAGCGTGGCGCTGAGCCCCGTGAAGAAGAAGTAGAGCGTGTGCGCCTCGTACTTGGTGGCCACGATCCACCAGCCGCTCAGCAGCTGGAGCGCGCCCATCGCCACGATGGAATGCTGGAGCTTGGAGCTCATTGCCTGCATCAGCTCGTATCGGCCCTTGAATTCGTCGGCGTCGGCAGCTTCCCTCGCCGCTGCGGGAGTGAGCTCCTCCTCTTCTCCCTCTCCTGGCGGCATGTTTAGCTTCTCCTGGACGAGAAAGATCTCCTCAGCCTCGATCGATCGCTCCTCACCCTTGCCTCCCCCGGATCCGGCGGAGAAGGGCCGAAGACTGCCCCCGATTGGAGCCAGCCTCCTCCATGGCGAGAAATTTGGATCGAAACACCGGGGATTCGCGAGAATCGGGGTCGAAATCTTTCTCGTGCAACCTGCAAGAACACTGGCATCTGGCAATGCAGGCCGCTTGGAGAGCTCACCAGACTCATAGCGGATCAGCGCCGCCGCCAGGCGCCGAGCTCCTCCTCGAATCATCGCCTCGATCCTTAAACCCTAGGCTAGGCTAGTCGAAAGAAATGGGTGCTTTTAGGGTTCTAGGCGACCTTCTTGGGCTGGACAGCCTCATATAGACAAGCGCCAAGCAATCCAATCGCCGTGCAGCGCGTGATCACATTCGATCGGCTCATCATCAGCGCCACCGCCTTGATCGTTTGCATCGACAGCGTCATGATCCTCATCCGGCTGCGCTCCTCCACCTTCTGGAAGAATGGGACGTGCTTCATCGTGGTGTGGAGGTGGAGCGCCAGATGGAGCGACAACCCGGCGCTCAGCGCCGTGAGGCACAGGCACAGCGTCTCCGCCGAGTAATCGCTGGCAATCACCCACCATCCCGCGATGAGCTGCGCGAGCCCCACCGCGATCAAGGCGCGCTTGAGCTTCACATTGGACTGGAGCATCGAGTCGATGGATTCGCGCAGCTCGTTCGCCGTCGCGGAGAGATCGCGCTCCACCGTCGGCCCCGTGATCTCCTCGTGCTGGAACTCGTCCACTTTGATCGGCTGCTGCCTTGGCGCCTTGGCGAAGAGTCTCGCGCCGGCTCCACTCCATGGGACCATGCTGTCGATCGATCTAGATCCGATTCTTGATCCTGGCAACTGGGCTTCACCAATCGATTGCGCGATATAATCCGCCACTGGGGTAGCTCCGATTCTCGATCCTGGCGGCAGAAATTCTATATAAAAAAGGGCCCCCCGCGGCCGTGATTGGCTTACCGAGTGGTGGATTCCGCAGCAAATGAGCGGCATTGCGCCCGACCAGCCGCCGGATCATCGTAGAACACAAGAACCCTAAAAATCTATCTCAAGAACCCTAAATTTCAACTAAATTTTAAAATCACTTGCTCAAAAGAAGAGAGACTAGATCTCCATCTGCAGATGGCGTAGCAACACTGGGATCACGACATCGGGGGCGCTGAGCTGCGGCAGGTGCCCCTCGGCGGCGAGCACCTCCACCACCGTCTTTCCGCCCAAATTCGCCGCCAAGTAGTCGGACACAACCACGGGCACCGCCAAATCCTTGTTGCTTTGCAGTATATGGCAGGGCGGAAAAACTCCTGGAAGAATGTGGCGGAAATCGCTCTGGAAGATGCTCTTGGCGACGGCGAGGGCGATGTCCGGGCGGACGTTGAAGAGCGTGCGGCTGAATTCCTGGACCGTGGCCGATTCCATATCGTCGCCCACTACCAGCGGAGCGAATCCGGACACCCACGCCTTGAAGTTGGATTGCATCGCGTCAAACAGCTCGTTGAGATCCTGCTGCTCGAAGCCTCCGAAGTAATTCTCATCGTTCAAGTACCTGGAGAAAGTTGGAAGAGTCGCGAGATCAGCCATCCATTTTCCATATGGACAAAAGAAAGAAACTACCAAAGGGAGAGCTATCCTCCATTTGGAATGGGAGATCTCAGAAAGAAGGAAGAGATCTTTGAGATCTTAGAAATCTAGGAAGAGAGCTTGGAATAGAAGAGAGAAGCTATCAGTGATTTAAGTAACTGCTAGAGAGAGCTCTGTGAGAGCTCAGAGAGAGAGAGAGAGAAAGAGATCTATGCGTAATCTATCGCGAGAGATCTATGCGTATAATCGAAAGTAAACTGGATTTCTTACCTGGGAGAGGCCGAGAGAAGGATGATCTTGGAGAAGATTTCGGGGCGAGCAGCGGCGGCCAGGCAGCCGATCATGCCCGAGACCGAGTGGCCGACGTAGATGCACGAGTCGATCTCCAGCTCGTCGATGATGGAGAGGAGATCCTGCGCATAGCCGGCGAGAGTGGCATAGCGCTCGAAGCTGAAGAACTCGGCGTTGGTGGTGCCGGCGCCCATGATGTCAAAGAGGACCATGCGATACTCATCGACGAGGTGGGGGACGAGGTGCTTCCACACCGATTGATCCGTGCCAAAGCCATGGCTCAGGATGACGATCCGCTGGCCATTCCCGACGATCCTCAGGTTGTGCGCCTCGATCAGCGACATTGTCTCGCGCTGTGAATCAAAGATTTCGAGATTTCCTGCTTGATTCCTGCGCAAGGAGTTGTCAAAGCACCCAAAAGCATGCGAGAAAGCCTAATTAGAAGAATGTAGCGCAATTTTCAAAGATTTTCCCATCAGCTCCTCACCAGCAATGGCTAGAAGCGCCGGATGCAAGCGTAAATCTGGAAATTATCGCTTGCTTCCATGGATAGAAGAGGGAAAGGATTGAGAGGCGCGCAAAACCCTTTCCCTCTCCTTTCCTTCTCACGAACACTTTATTCCGTGCCTAGGCATTAGCTGGAAATTCCGGAATCGCAATCGTATCGGAACCGTCAGATCGTCACCGCTGTATGCGATCTAGTACAGCGGTCGCCAAACTATTTATTTGAAATTGGACTGTAATGCCGACGCCGACGCCACCTTGTACACGTCGCAGAAGTTGCCAACGTGGCCAAATATCTCAACGTGGCAAGCTCCTATTGGCGAGTCTGGAATGTTTCGAGTATCTCTCTTCCAGGTGACGTTCCTGGTCGATCCGCGCGATTGATTCCAATCGCTGCCTCGCGGAGAGGTTCCCCAGCAACACGTACGCGGCGGTGTTCTTGGGATCCGAGCGGAGGATGTGCTTGGCAGCCTTGATCCCGTGCTGGGCGCTGCGATAGCTCGCTGCGGATCCCAGCAGCGACGTCCACTCGAGCGAATCCGGCACGAATGGCATGCTATCGATGAGCTCCGCCGCCGCGATCAGGTACCCAGCTCGCCCCAGGAGATCGATCAGGCAGGTGTAGTGCTGCTTCCTCGCCTCGATTCCAAAATCCATGGCCATGGACACGAAGCATTGCCTGCCGCGATTCACGTCGCCCTCGTGGCCGCAAGCGTGGATCGCCGACGCGAAGCAGCTCTGCTCGGTGGAATCCATGGCTTTGATCTCCGCGAAGAGGTTCGCGGCATGGATGGGATGTCCCTTGTGGGCATAGGCCGCGAGCGTCGCGCTCCACGCGATGGAGTCCTTCTCGGGCATGGAATCGAAGAATCGCCTGACTCGATCCATCCGATGGCCGATCTGGGAGAAGCCCACCAGCATCGTCGTCCAGGAGATGAGATTTCTCTGCGGCATTTGGTGGAAGAGGTGCTGGGCTTCGTCCAGGGATCCACTCTGGGCATAGGCCGAGAGCATCGCGTTCCAGACGATGAGGTTCTCTTTGGGCGCTTCGAGGAAGATCTCTCGAGCCTTGTCGATCAAGCCGGTTCTCGCGTAGGCCGAGAGGATCGCTGTTTGAGAGACTGGATCACTTGGAGTTGGATCGATATCTATCGCTCGATCCGGGCAGCCGTGTCTCGTGTAAGCAGCGAGCAATGCCGAGCAAGAGATTTCGTTCGCATCGTGTTCTTCACTACCATCATCTTTGCTGCTCAAGAACATAGCCTTGGCCTCGTCCAAATGCCCGTTTTGGGCATAGGCCGCGATCATGGCGGTGCGTGAGACGGAATCTTGACGTGGAATCTGGTCAAACAGGAGCTTTGCTTCCTCGAGCTTGCCGTTTTGAGCATATGCCGAGAGCATCACCGTCCAAGAGACGAGATTCCGATCCGGCATCTCATCAAAGATGAGCTTTGCCTTGTCGAGGAGATTGTTTTGAGAGTATGCAGCAAGCATGGCAGTCCAGGAGATGAGATTTCTCTGCGACATTGCGTCGAAAACTTGCTTTGCTTCGTGGATATGCCCGCTCTGGGCATAAGCAGCAAGCATCGCATTGTAAGACACTAGATCACGGTCTGGCATGAGATCAAACAGCGCTTTTGCTTGATCCAAATTCTTGTGCTGGTAGAAAGCCGAAAGCATGGCTTTCCAAGACACAAGGTTCTTGTGGGGGATTAAATCGAAGGTCTCCTTTGCTTTCTCCAGCTGCCCATTGTGGGCATACGCTGTTAAAAGTGTGTTCCAGGAGACAACGTCGTGCTTTGGCATCGAATCGAAAACTTCCTTAACGCGGAATATTTTCTCCTGCAAAGACAAGACCGAAAGAATTGTGTTCCAGGACGTTAAGTTTGCCTGCGGCATCTCGTCGAAAAGCTCCAAGGCTTCGTGAAGATGCCCGTTTTGGGCATAAGCCGCTATCATAGAGTTCCAGGATACGATGTCCCGCTGCGGCATTTTGTCAAAAATGTGCTTGGCATCCCGGAGATTCCCACTCTGTGCGTAAGCAGTTACAATTGTCGTCCACGACACAATGTTTTGTTCGTCCATTTGATCGAACATTTCTTTCGCTTGTTCCAGGTGCCCTCCTTGGGTATACGCCGAGAGCATTGCATTTGATGCCACGATATCTTTCACTGGCATTTTCTCTAAAGTTTTCTTTGCTTCTTCCACGAGCCCGTTTTGCGAATATCCGGATAAAAGAGCCTTCCAAGAGATGAGATCCCTCTCCGGCATTGAATCAAATATGTCTTTCGCCTCAACGATATGCCCTTTGTGGGCATATGTGCAAAGCAGTGTGTTCCAAGACGAGACATTCAGTTGTGGCATATCATAAAACACCCTTTTCGCGATCTCAGTGCTCGAGTTTTGGCCATAAGCCGAAAGAAGAACGTTCCAAGCCGCAACATTCTTTTCAGGCATCTTTTCAAACAGATCCTGTGTTTCTTGCAGATGCCCAGTTCGGGCATATGCAGAAAGCATTGCATTCCAGCAAATAGCATCTCTTTCGGGCATCTCATCGAATGTGTTCTTTGCGTCACGAAGGTGGCCACTCTGGGAGAACGCAACGATCATTGCTGTGCACGAAACGACGCTTTTCCTGGGCATCTTGGAGAAGAAGTCTGCTGCATCCTCGACCTGGGCATTCCCAGCGTAGGCCGCAAGCATGAAATCCCATGACATAGTGTTTTTGGTGGCGATGCTGTCGAAAACACTGCGAGCATGAGTGACACTCCCACACTTTGCGTACATTTGGATGATCTTGTTGAGAAGAAACGTGTTTTTGGTGTGTTTTATCCGCGAGTGGAGGGATTGGGCCGTGGAGAGTGACTTGCATGAATCGATGAGCCGGACGAGCTCAATCTCCTCGTCCATGTTCTCATGTTCCTCAGGTTGGTACTTATATTGTCCAAGTGGGTGATATTTCCAATAGGATGTCCAAGTGGGCGATCTTATCAATAGTACTAGTTTGGTGAAAGCATGGGTGGCCCAGTGGAGAGGATGTACTTGGGACTCCAATATAAGACATTGATTGCGAAACAGCTTGTAATTTCCACGTTGTTGTTGTCCATCTCGATCAGTCGCATTCCTTGTTTGGCACACGTTAGATATTTCGTTTATTGTTTTCTCCATTCCACATACCCTCCAGCCAGAGACTCATGAAGCAGTCAAAGTTGTCTTATTCCTATTGGAGAGATCTTTGCCTTCATGATACTGGAGAGATCTTGTCCTTATAAAAGAGCTCTATATATTCATTACAGTTTCTGGAATTCTATTTATTTATTTATTTTGTTTTTTGTAACTAGTGACTACCACTTGAAGAAGAAAATGATTTCTTAATTTACTACATAGTGGTCGAGGACAGGGATCAAATGTTTATCTCGTCCTCGGGACCGGCTACTGAAAACTTGGGCTGTCAAAATTGTTTTCCTTTTACCGATGGCTACAGGTTCCCTTACAATGTTTCCTTTTTTCTTTCTTTCTTGCAACGTCCACCTGAGAAAAAACATGGAAGAGCGTTTTACTCAATCTTGAAACGAAGCTGTCTCTTACTCAATCGAGCTACGGGTACTGCATCGGATCGAATGCTTGGAACTGCTGCTTGAAGTCTTCCACCAGTTTGGTTTCCTCGTCCTTGGTTAGCTTGCAAGCCTTCCAGTCCGTTTTCTCTGGCGTGCCAAGAAGGCCTGCTAGCACCTGAGAAGGGAATTGTAGTCTAGAGCAAAGAGATGCATGGATAAATTCAGCTTTACCTCACGTCCAAACTGCATTGGCATTTTCTCTCCGGCAGCACAGGGATGAGCCAATGTCGTTCCATCGGGAAGCTCAACAACGAAGTAGTTTACTCTGTCCAGCAAACGTCTCAAGTCATTGGACTGGCTTCCTGTAAAGAAACAAGAATTTAATGCATACGAACAAAGGGGAAGATCGAGATCCTTACTACGCATTATGATAAACGAGAATCCTAGCTCGCTTGCAGCTGCATCAAATGCTTCACGGCAGGACGCTGCTGCTGACGATGAAACAGGAACTACCTGGAAGATAAAAAAGAAAAGAAAAGAAAAACACACTGTTAAAGGAGCGTAAAATAAAGAGCGACCATAGTACCTGTACATGCGCGTGAGTTCCTGCTCTTATGTTGATGTATCTCTCGAATATGATAATGGACGATCCCTGGCTCTCAAAAAACTTGCGGAGCGAGTCTTTGTACATCTCGAGCTCCTTCTCGACCTCTCGTGACACACACACGGCGGACGGCGTGTGTTCAATGGGAACTATCAGCATGTGCTTGTCCATCAGAGGCCCTTTCGCAAGCGCAACGTAGCAATGATCTCCAACGCTCGCAACCAGATGTGTCTCGACGTTTGGGCTCGCCAAACAAAACCAGCATTCTTGTTGCTTTCTTTCCAAAGAATGGCTAAATCTGTTCAGAACTTATATGTTAGAAAAAAAAGCAAAAGAGATACAACAGAGCCATTACCTGCAGTCATCTCCCTTCTCACAGCTTCCTTTCTTGAAAAAGTTGAAACAAGAACCTGGTGGAAGCTGTTGTTCGTTGTCTGCTGCCGCAGAGCTTGCATTCTCATCTGATGAATGTAGATATCGGCACTCCGAGCCCCGCTCGCAGCTTCCTTTTGTGATAAAATCGTAGCAGGATCGTTTTGGAATAAGCACACCGTTTTCAAACGTGTGCTTAAACTTGCATCTGTCCCCACGAGCACACGAGCCCTTGGTGACAAAATCGAAGCATGCTCCCTCCACTCGCTTGGTCTTCTTCGCATCGGACGTGTCGTAACGCCAGAATTGTCCCTCGGACTGCGACGACGGTGTCATCTCGGACAAGGGACGCTTTTTACTCGAGGGACGATTCTCATACGGAGAAAGAGTGCTGTTTGGAGGAGTAACAGCAAGCTCTTCGCTTGACAACTTTGAAGCTGGTGTTGGAGAAAGAGCATGTAGATATTTCTGCAAGTTAGAATGAAAAAAGAAATCCTTAGATTAGCACTCGGTTTAAGCACAACCATACCTGTTTCTTATCATTCCCCACGACTCCCAGAGCCACAAATCGCGTTACGTGAGGCACACCTTGGTTGGTATAAGGCTCCCGTGTAAAGAATACGCCTTCTGATCCAGCAACGTGGTACCTGCAAGGAAAAGAAATGCAGGCCCTTTAATAGTGTTTATAGTTTTAGTGAGACGTCTTACCGAGGCCTGAGCTCTGCCGCTAGCTCTGCTATGACTGGATTCCCAGAAACATTTTCGCTTGGTATCTCCCCTTTGCTTCCAGATAGCACTCCTTGAGGCCAGTCATTAGTGTGAACGTTAAGACCAAACGACCAAAGAGAAAGAAAAAAGATTAGGAGAAACATAGCAAGGATATGTGAGAAACAAATCGATGACTTGAGAATCGTCCGCCAGAGCTCGCAAAGCATCGACATCATCCTGATGAAATGCCCCCACGTCCGCTGCAAGCTTTGCATCTTCGTAGGCTAAAGCATCGGACTTTCCACTTAGAAACGCGATACGAAGTTCTTCCATACACAAAGTCCGTCTTAGCAAACAGAGCAAAAAGAGAAAAAAGAAAGAACACGTACCATGAACGAATACCACACCACTTCCTCGAAGCCAAAATAGATTTTTGGAGACGACCACCGGCTCTGAGACGAGGCCACGATCTTTTGCCGGTGCCAGCAATTGCAAAGCCTCCTCTCCATAATTCCCCGTGAAATACGTGGGGAGAGGAATTTCCTTGGCGCCATCGATGTATTCCCTCACTTGGGACACGCCGTGTTCGTCCAGTGGAAAGAACTGCCCCACGCAAAAGAGCGCATCGAATGGCCCATTGGCCGTGTTTACCTGAATCGATCGCCAAAGAGAGCCAGCGATCAGCACACAATGCAGCAATGGAGCGGGGATCTTACAGCGGCGACGCGCTTGAAGAGCTGATCCAATCGTCCCACAACATCCCCACACAGGAGGATTCTTGGTTGCGACATGACCAACGATAAACCCTAAATAACCAGAAGCCCCATTTTCTTCTTTTTTGCTTCGTTTTTGCTCGTTGCCCATAAACCCTAATGATCATAAACCCTAAATGGGCGATCTCTTCCGGATCAATGGGACGGGAGTCACACTGTCGCAAGGTAACAAACGCATTTCTCTACCACTTCTCATCCATTGTTTTAGTTCTCGAATTTCTGGGCTCGATTCCAAGCTTCCAGCAGCTCCCAATCACTGCGTTTGAAAGATTAGCTCTTGCTGTGCAACCAAAAGAGTGTTGTAAGTATTTTTTTTGCCTTTATTTCTTGGTGTCTAGCTTTTTTTTTTCAGTACCATTAGAGCTTTCAAATCTTCCTCGCGGAGTCTACATTGTTTGGAGTGGAGAGGTAACGAGAAAGAAAGAAGAAAAATGTTGCTTTCTCTCTTTAACTTGAACGCGACTTTTAGCTTGTGCTTGACACAGGGAATTCAAGCGTAAAAATCCTGAGTCGAGGAGGTTTTGGTTAGTGTTTTGTGTGTAAGCTTTGCATTATTTTCTTATGGTATCTTCTTTCTAGTAACTCAAGAAGAGCTCCAAGGTGCTACAGCGAGTGGCAAGGTGAATCATGGAACATTTTTTACTTATGTTTTCTGGGTGTTAATTCTTTCAATTTATTTCCCCAGGTTGTTTTCTTGGTTCTCAACTCTGCTGATACTGCGCTGATTCATACCAAACATATTTGGACACCCGGTGGAACGAGTGTCATAGAAAAACTTCTACAACTCGAAAAAGTGGAGGTCCGCCATTTTTTAAAAATGTTTGCTTTTCTTTTACCTATTGTTTTGGTTTTTTCTTCGTTTTCAGATCGATTTTTACCGTGGATTCTCTAATCCTAATCTTGTAGAATTCAAGCAGATATTTGGAGGGCAACTAGTTGGGCAAGTTTGTGCTTAGTCTCAAAACTTGAATGACGAGAAACCATATTACGTCTTGTAATTCTTCTGTTGCAGGCTTTGGCTGCGGCGAGCAAGTCCGTAAATCCTTTCTTGCTGGTACACAGCCTCCACTCGTATTTTCTATTTCCCGGTGATAAAAGCAGTAAGTCTGGATGGGTTTTCTGTCATATAGATTATTTTACCTTGCTTGTAACGAGTTTTTCATCGTTGTCGCTATGATTTTCTTGCAGTCCCAATAATTTATCGCGTCCAAAGAATCCGGGATGGATACAACTTTGCAAATCGATCCGTGAGTGCATTCCAAAGCGACCAAATTATCTTCACAATGACTGCATCATTTCGGGTGCGATATGAAAATCCATTGTTTTGCTGATGAACGTTTCTTTTCTCTTCTTTGCTTTTTACTTCTAATCTTTTTTAGAGGGGAGAGAGTGGCGCTGAACACCAGCTTCCCGTGCCTTGTGTGCCACCACCTGAGGAGGTATTAATTTCTTACCTTTGCATATTTCGCTCTTAAGAAAGAGTTTTATTTGCACAGCTGGTACCCGAAGAAATTGCTCAGCAGCGCTACCTCTCGGACCCTCGCCTTTCACTGTAAACTTATGTTTCTTCTTGCTCTAAAGCTTAAATCCATTTGTTCACAGATCAAAGAAGGAACTCCTGAAGAACAATTCTTCCAAAGAACACCCTCTGGATTTGCGTCGTTGCGACGACTTTGATGAAGTGGACCCGGAACCATGCGAGTCAAGGTAGAGAATAAGATAAGAGTGGACGCGTTTTAATTTGATGTTTGTTAGACTGGCGTTATGGTTTCGAGCCAAAGGTACGCTTCCGGATGATCAAGCGTTACACCGGTAAAAACAAGCCACCATTGTGATTTTCATGACTTTTTTAGTATTTTGTTTTGTGTAAGCAGCTGTATCCTGGCCTATGCTTCCGATTGGATTTTTCTCGAGTCGGCTTTTAGGCCCCACGGCTGGACATCCGGACCAACTGGGATTTTTACAGACATCAAAGTACTCAGTATGGATCATTCGTAAGTTGTGATCATCAAAAACATAAACTTTTGTTTATTGATTTTTGTGCTGTCAGGCTATGGTTCCACACTTCTGTCAAAGCAACTGACTGGCACCTCTTCTCGGTACTGCAAATTTACTTTCTTCGTGTGTTCACAGTTTCTCATTGCAGATGGAGAGTCCCCGTGCCGCATCAGGTCGAGCATTTGTCTCTGGCCATATTTACTCGAGACAAGGAAAGGTATTTTCCTTAAGTTTTCTTCCACTGTGAAGTATCAACGTTCGCAATTCGTTTCTAGCTGGTGGTTTCCGCAACACAGGAAGGCCTCGTCCGAAAGAAGCTGGAATCTAGGCTGTGAGAAGAGCACCTTTCGAAGAGAACTACGCTCGTAAAGAGCACGGGAAGAAGCTATCACAGAAACCATACCATCAAATGTTGTAGCCATGCAAGACGAAAGGACGAGCTACTAGGCAGTTGCTCTGGCGCAAAGCCCAAGCCTGGAATCCACGAAGATATAATTTAACTCATGGAACTCAATCCATGCCATTTGATTCTTCTGGGAGCATCGAGCTTATATTTTCAACCATAGTCATTCCTTGTGCCATGTAAGCTTAAAACCAAGGCACAGTAGAGAAACACCAGTATAAAAGAAATGGAGTTGCAAGAAGGGTTAACCCGGGAGAGCCTGAAAGAATGGCGCTTGCATCCCTCGGGTTGCTTAGTAAATGGGGTCGTCTCCGGCCACTTTCGAAGACAAGGAGAGGCATTCTCTATAGTTTTCTTCTTCCTCCAACGTTCGCATTTCGTTTATAGCTGGTGGTTTCTGCAGCACAGGAAGGCTTCGTCCAAAAGAAGCTGGAATCCAGGCAGTGACAAGAGCCAAAGTCTGAGAACTACGTTTGGTCCGCTCGTTTTGGCCTGAGGAACGACGAGAAAAGAGGATGGGAAGCAACTATCACAGAAACCATACAGTATCAAACGAAGCCGTTGTTGTAAACTAGAGGAAGAAGCTTGTGGCGAACAACTTGTCCTTCTTTTACGTCCTTGAACCAGCCTCCAAAGCTTACCAAGTCTTCATCCTGGACTTTCCTCCTGCGTGAGCGTGATCTTGAGATAAAAACAAACACCGCAAACAAAAACCAAAGACCTTGCATGTTTTGTGCTCAGCAAGCGCGCTCCATCGCCAAAGTAGCTCACTGTCCATGCAAGACGAGAGGACGAGCTACTAACCGGTTGCTCGGGCGCAAAGTGCAAGGTCCAGCCATGGTGGACAGTCCTGGATGCACAAAGATACAAACTCATGGAACCCAAGAGAAAAAAAACTACTTACGCGTCTCCAGCAGCGAGTTCTCTGTAAGTTTCGATCGAGTATCCCCTTCGCTCCAAGTTGTCCATCCCTCTGTTGGATTGCCAATACGGCAGAGCAAAGTCCGTGTGAGACGCGGACGCAAAGTGGAGCGTGGAGTCCGTTTGTGACAGTGAATGGAGTGGAATCCAAAACGTGAGAAAGGAGTTCGTGTCGAGCGGGACCATGTTGAGGTCCGAGTGCCAGTTTGTGACACTGAATCCTGGGAGCTTGATGAAGAGACAATCCTGGTACAAGCGAACCTACGAATCCAGAGACGAAGTTGTTACGTTTGTTCTTAGAAGAAGCAAAACGAAAAGCTTATCGATCGACTCTGTTTGATCCGAGGAGCTCTGCTGCGGCCTGGCAGACTCGAGGGTGGAAGACGAATTCGTCCAGAGAAGAAGCTCTTCGGTGGAGATGGAACATTTGCAAGAAACCAAGATCGTCATTCCCCTGGAACAACAAGAGAGAAAAGATGATTGAAAACTTCTAATCCAAAAAACTATAGAACTTATATACCTTGGATTGGATCAACGCTCTGGCTTGCTTGACGCTTTGGACGCTACGCAAATCGATGCCCGGGCACAGCACCGAGACGCGGTGCTTGTAAGCCGCGAGCATTTCTTCCTCCTTGCAGATTTGCACCTGGATCCTCTGCCTGAGAAGCTTAATCTCAGCGCTGGAGAACAATCTCCGGATGCAAACATGCCCCTTCCTCGCGAACTCCAGCTGCTGCTCCAGCGACACGACCGTGCTTCTTTTTCCAGAGCCCACATTCGCGTGGCCGGGGAGGGAAGAACAGCTCCAAACCATAGCACACAGGAGCCCTAAATTCAAATGTGGGGCAAATTGGCAAGTTTGGATGGATGATCCATTCCTTTTCTCTTCCTTCTCGCGCAAACGAGCAGCAAGTACAAGAATTCCCTTGCAGGATTGCCAATGTCAAGACCCTCGATCGCGGCGCGCTGCTCCACGCCTCGATCCAGAGCTGCGCGCAATGCCGCGACGATCGCTACCTCGCCAATCTCCTCGTCCAGATGTATGCGCGCTGTGGCAACCTCGAGCACGCTCTCTCCGTCTTCGCTGGGGTCTAAGATCCCAATTCCTTCTCCTGGAATATCCTCCTTTAGGCATATGCCTAGAGGGGGTATCTGGACGACGCTCGCCGGGTCTTTCAGAGGATGCCGTCCAAGGACGTGGCAGTGTGGACGGCTGTGATGAATGCCGTTGAGAACGGCGTTATGGATCTCGCGCAATGTATGTCCTAGAATAGGCCCGTGAGGAACGTGGAGTTGTGGAACTTTATGATTTCTGCATATGCCCAGACCGGGCATTACACTAAAGCTATGGAGCTCTTTCAAATCATGCACGCTCACGACGAGTACACGTGGAAGATCCCAGTTTCTCGTCAGCCTGGACCAACATGATTGTATTATACGCCGTTCACTCCAAGACCGACAAAGCTCGAGCAGTGTTTGATGCTTTGGCGTGCCTGGACATGGTCTCCTGGAACACCATGCTCGCTTGCTACACACCCGACGTCCACCGCTGCAAAGATTTCTTTGAGCAAATGCCCGGCCACAACCTGGTATCTTACAACACTCTCTTGTCCTCACTGGTCAGCTGCCGATTATAGTGAAAATCTTCGTCGAAATGCCAGAGATAAACGCTGTGACATCCACTGTGATGATGCAAGCTTATGCACAGGAAGGCCAGGGACAACTACGAGACAATGCCGGATCGCAACTCAGGGGCGCTTATCACCGTGATCTTTGCGCTCGCACAGCCCAATCCCCCAGAACAACCTTTGGGCGATTTGAAAAGAAGATGGAGGCCTGGAGCTCGATCATTGCGGCCTATGTCCCTCACGGACGCGTGAGGGAGGCACTGGATCTCTTTCGAGAGGTGATCTTGCTGGCTTTCAAGCCATCTTCACGACAATTCTAGCAGCGCAGTGTTGCCGAGATTTTTTGGCAGACTTTGGGATCTCTCCCAAGATCGAGCATTACTACTGCTTGGTTGACGCTGGAGCGAGCTGGTCAGCTGGAGCAATCCATGCCATTTGTTCCACAGCTGGGCTTGTGGACGATTCTTCTGGGTCGAAATGCAAAGGTTGTGGAAATGTCGGCTGGAAAATTGCTGGGTAAGGGGATAATGCCAGGTTGACAGCCAACCATCCTAGTCATCCCCGGAGATGCGGGTGTTGTGCCATGTAAGCTGAAAACCTATCCCACCAGCCAAGGCGCAGTAGAGAAACACCAGTATAAAAGAAATGGAGTTGCAAAAAGGGTTAATCCGGGAGAGCCTGAAAGGGCGCTTGCATCCCTCGGGTTGCTTAGTAAATGGGGTCGCTGACCCTTGACCACTTGGCCCCCCTCGTCGGTGACCCAGTAGTGCTAAGTCGGTATGGTCAACCCCACCGTGATCTACCGGATAGCGCTTGGTACCCAGGGCGCCCAAGGAGGCCCGATATCTTTTGCAAACATTTCTTTGATCTTCCTTTCTGGTATTTCTTGGTCCGCCAGGCCTTGGAAGTATTTTGCACTCATATGAGAGGAAACGAATGTTTGGATTCAGACGGTTCTCAATTTCGCGATCTCAACCTAATGCTGAAGAGGTCATGCTTGCGTTTTCTTGTAGCTTGTGTGTGTGAAGGAAAATTCTTTGTTTTTCTTTGTTCTTGAGGGCTTATTCACTGGAGCTTAGAAGATGGATGAGTTTTATATCATGTATCACTCGTTCTGTAGATGACGCTTCGCTCTCTTTCTTTTTCCCAATGATGGAAGGATGGCTCTTTCAGGGGCCTGAGAAAGGATAGACAATTGTGTGGATAAGTAAACATAAACAGTTTTTTTTCAAAAAATAAAGGTGGCTAAAAAAGTATAAACTAAGATATCTTTTCTCAGGAACATTTTTTTTTTATTGACGAGCATTTCTTTCCTTTTTCTTCTTATTTAGAGGGAAGAAAGTGGCAGCAGACAGTGCGGCACACGGTATCATACTATTCATAAAATGGGCTTCCATATGTTTGTATTTCGAAAATAACTCTCTATTGCTGCCTTGCATGCATGCATGGTGAATCCATTTATTGGCCTACACTGGTTTTCATCTGCTATAAGTACTAGATGGTATATTCCACTAAGCCTTGGGCAACCAAGAATCCAATCGTGAGTTCATATTGTGGCTATACCCATCTATCATCATATCCTTCATATACATAATTGATATAATTGTTGTCCATTCAAGAAATTTGGGTCTAGGGTTGGGTTTTGACAAAGATGGGGTGAATTGCAATAGTTTTGATTCTTGCCAAAACAGTAACTGTGCTTTATCTTTCATTTGGCAATTCCAGATGGGAAACTTTAGATTTACAAAATATAAAACAATTACAGAAGTGTGAAAATAATTATTTAGGGGATACACATTATTCTAATAGTGAAAAATTCCTATCGTCTTTTCTAAAAACCTTTTTGGAGAGCCTTCCATTACTTTGACTTGTAACAAATAAATTTCTTATTCAGGCAAAAGAGGAGAAATATAATGCATACTTCACAGTGGATGAAGATTTGAATGTCCATAGGCAAGTTATTTCTTTTTTGTAGATTTAAAGTTTGCCATTTGAAATTATTGAATTAACGGTTTTTACTCAGACTTTTAATAAAGCACAAGTATAACTTCAGCAAGGATCAACTGTTATGATGCTACAACAATTAAATACCACTTCAAATACCTCTCTTGGATTACCCTCCTTAACCACTTTGACTAGCAGGGCATTGAAAGGTATTCTAGCTAATCTAATTTTAAGAAGAATCTAAACTAGCAAATAAAACAGAGTGTCCATGAATCTCATCTTGCTCTTACAAAAAACCCACATCTTGTTCTTTTATGATACCTTGTCATTATTTGTATGCATCTAAACTGCCCATAACAATAGAAGATTTCTCATGTTTATCACTCTTAGGAATATCTAGTAAATTTCTTTGTCACCATCCTTAACTCTATTACTTGACATTGGATTCTCAAGCATATTCCCACATAGTGCTCAATGGAATATACTAGGGAATCTGGTACTTCCAACAATCTGCTGCGTGAACTGCGTGTTCATAGTATGAATAGCATGCCATAATTTCACACACAGCTAGTACTTAAAGATCTCATATCAGACTCTTGTCTTTCACTGGAAACTTCAGTTTTTTCTTACTCTAAAGCTCAAATCAACTTGTTTGTAGATTAAGGAAGGACCTAGTCAAGAGCAATATTTTCTTCCAAATAACACCCTCAAAGCTTGAGACTTTGAGAGTACGTTGCAAGTTAAGGGCACGTATCAGAGTAGAGCAATCCACTATCGCAATGGATTTTCTCGACTCTGGTTTAGAATCCCACAGCTCAACATCCAGACTATTTAGATCATTTCTGGAGAGTCCTGTGTCTCTAGCCATATCTAGTAAAATACAAGGAAACGTATTACCTTCTCCATAGTTTTTCTTTCTCTATGAAGATTCAACATTCTCATTTTGGTTTCAGCTGGTGGTTTCCATAGCCCTCATCTGGAACAAGCTGAATACATGTAACAAGTGCCACATTTGAGGCCCTTTGATTAGAACTACATTGTGTTCACTCGTTTTTGCCTAAAGAACAAAGAGAAAAGAGGATGAGATGAAACCATCACAAAGACAATACCATATTAAACAAAGCCATTGTTGTAAACCAGAGGAAGGCACTTATGGCAAACAACTTGGCCTACTTTTAAGTCCTTCTACCAGCCTACAAAGCTTACCAAGTCTTCATTCTGAACTTTCCTCCTCTGTGACCGTGATTTTGAGATAAAAAGAAACACTGCAAAGAGAAACAAAGACCTTGGGTGTTTTGTGCTGAGCATGTGCGCTCCATCGCCAAAGTAATCCTGGATTCACAGAGATATAGTTTAACTCGTGGAAAACTAATGGAACTCAAAAGAAAACTCATGGAACTCAAGAGCAAAAATGCTTACGCGTCTCCAGCAGCGACTTCTCTGTAAGTTTCGATCAAGTATCCCCTTATCTCCAAGTTTTCCATCCCTCCGTTCGATTGCCAATACAGCAGAGCAAGGTCTGTGTGAGATGCGGATGCAAAGTGGAGTAGTGAATGGAGTGGAATCCAAAACGTGAGGAAGGAATTGATGTCGAGCAGGACCATGTTGAGATCAGAGTGCAGTTCGTGACACTGAATCCTGGGAGCTTGATGAAGAGATAATCCTTGTACAAGCAAACCTCCGAATCCAGAGACGAAGTTCTTACGTTTGTAATTAGAAGAAAGGAAAACGAAAAGCTTATTGATCGACTCTATTTGATCCGGGGAGCTCCAATGCGGCCTGGCAGACTCGAGGGTGGAAGACGAATTCGTCCAGAGAAGAAGCAACCGGACTCTAGTGAGATATAAGGGTGGAAATTAAAAGATGTTTAATAAAACTCCCTTTCCTCAAAACTTTAAACACACATTTCATCCCTTAAGCTTGTAAAAAAGGAAGTATTTTAGGTTTTCACTTGTCCTTTTAGCAGAGAAGCCAGCAGCGATGCCAAACAAGAGCAGCAAGGTGTACAAGGAGTTCCATCTTCTCCAGAACTACCCACTGTTTTGGTCTTTATCCTCCCAGCAAAGTGGCCTTCAGTTTGGAAGCGTGGATGAATTGAAGATGTACTTGAAACAGCAGCACCTAACCTGTATGAAATGCAATCACGGTGAGTGCAGCAACTTTGATTACTTCAATAATGATAACATTAGCCAGCCAAGGTATCGCTGCAATCTGTGCAAGAAAAGATTCACCTATGGTGGAAAAACAAGACTAACCTACATGAAGCGGCCAAGGTTAAGCAACACTCAGGAAGTCGACATAGCACATAAGAACAAGAAGCTCAAGCGTGCTCCAGTTGAAGATGAGACAAAGAAGAGTTTGCTGGTCGACGAAAGTCAAGCGAAGCAGAGTGGTCAACAGGCCGATAAAGCTGGGGCGGTGATCTGCACATAATTCAGCTGGAAGCCAATCGGACAACTTCTCACCGGAGACTGAGGACGACGGATCGTTCACGATTGCCTTTCCTTCGTCAGTGGGACGTTGTCATGACTCGCAAAGTCGAAGCACACGACTGGTAGCGGAGAGTTCAATAAATTCGGGCCATCAGCGACTTCACTTCCGAGCAGTCACCTTTCTTGCTCCCAAGGACGTCGTCCCAGAAGCTATCTCCTGGTGATACATACTTGTTATCGAGTAGCCAGTTCGGAGTGGGATCGCCACCATTTCCAGCGCTTGCATGAGGAGTGCATGGTAGCTTCTTCGCACTGTGCTGAAAAGGCGGTAATTGTCTGTCAGCCACTTCAACCATTTCAGCCGCTCGTTCCACTTCGTTGCACTGAGAGAAATCGCCATCTCGTTTCTCAAAACTTTGCTTTGGAGAGACGTCCATCTTCTCGCTCTTCTCTTGCAAAACATCTCTAGAGGAAGCTGCTACCTTTTTTGTCAGGGAACACCACTGAAACCAAACACAGGCATCAGCAAAAAAGAATGAAAGAAAAAAGATCATCGTCACTTACTGGAGACAGATCGCCAGGATTTCTTCTCGTTTGCTTTCTTGTCCCTCTAACAATGCACTGAAAGTAGTGAGCTTAAGCATTCGGTGTACAGCCCCGACGTTGCATGTCCTCTAAGAGATCCAAGGCCACCTGGCCTTCACCGTTTTCAGCGTAGCCCAGCACCAGCGCCGTCCAGGACACGACATCGTGCAGTGGCATCTTGTCAAAAATTCTGCGAGCGTCTGCCGAGCTTCCACATTTGACGTAGAAATCCACCAGCGTGTTTGCGACGAAATACTCCAACTCGAGACCACCTTTAGCAGCTTGCCAGACTTGTGCAAGCCTTCACTGCAGCAACGTAGCTCCGAGCGTTTGGCTGAGAGCCCCGAGCTTTCATCTTCTGGAATAACTCTAGAGTCGACTCTGGTTCACCATTGTCACCGTGTCCCACCATAACTAAATTCCAAGTACCCACGTCCTGCTGCTTTCTTTAATGTTCTCGGCACCGTGAAGCTGAAGCTGGATTCGTTGGCCATCAAGACATAAAGATCGAAACTAATAACACCAATGCTTAGGAGAGGGTACACATCTCCAAGATGATCAAAGCCAAGTTTGAGAACCAAGTATATCTACACACTCGATGCAAGTCAGTAGACTACATAAGAAAACCTTTGCTTTGACAATGTGCGTCGGTGCTTTTTTGAGGCAGTCAGCAGCGATTCCTGCATAAGATCGAACGAGTCCTCCAGTTCCAAGCTTCGTTCCACCAAAGTACCTGGATTTCCAATTAGCTTTTGTTCTTTCGTTTGGAAAAACGATGATAGGTACCTCGTGACAACAATCATAACTCCATCCACACCAGAATTTTCTCTGGCAGCATAGATTGGCCGTCCTGCCGTTCCTCCAGGCTCTCCACCATCGCTAAAACGATAGCGTTCTTTGATCTAAGCTGGAAGAAAATGAAACATTCCAGCAAGAAAAAGAAGAAGGCGAAATAAAAGTACCACCTTGTAAGCTTAGCAATTGTGAGATGCCTGTGGATCCAAGACCTTGCAAAAAAAAGAATGAGCTAACATCATGATTTTCTTCTTTCCAAAACTAGACCTTGGAGAGAAATGCCAATGCGCCTTATTCATCGTCCACTGTCCAGAGCGGCCATGGCGATGAACTTACTTTGTTTCATCTCGCACTGCGAAGGAACTTTGGATGAGATTGTTGTGTATGCCGATGCTGCGCTATCGCTCGAAGATTTCGCTCCTCCCTGGCGACTGAAATGCATATACATTGGCACCAACGCCACCATCCTTCCATTGATCGGCGATCTAGCAAGCTTGCTCCCAGCTAAAACCCCTAGACGAGGAATCAAAGCACTAGCGCGAGTGCCTTTCGAAAATTGCGCTACTATAGAATCTCAGACACGGGGCGGTCCTACGTGGCAGAACTCTAGTCAGGATCTTCTAGCGCAGCTAGGGCAACGAGGAGATCTGCAATCGATCGCGTTTCCCTGGAATGCCGCTGCTTCACTCGAGATATTCGCTGTTAGTCCGAGCTGTGCCTTCGCCACTGCCGAGCACAATGCCGGATTGCGCTGCGATGCTGTGACGATTTCCAGGCGAGGATCTTGGTCAGAGAAGTAGAATGAGATCTTTAGGTACTAACTGTGTCATAGAGTAACAGATTCCCTAGTATATTCAATTGAGCCCTATGTGGGAATATGCTTGAGAATCCAATGGGGCCTTTGATTTAGGTCACTTAAGAGAAATCTTCTATTGTTATGGGCAGTTTAGATGCATACAAATAATGACAAGGTATCACAGAAGAATGTGGGCTTTTTGTAAGAGCAAGATGAGAGCTTCTCTTGAAGAACAGATTCATGAATACTGTTTTATTTGCTAGTTTAGATTTTTCTTAAAATTAGATTAGCTAGGATACCCTTCAATGTACTGTTAGTCAAAATGGTGGGAGGGCAGTCCAAGAGAGGTATTTGAAGTGGTACTTAATTTGTTGTAGCACCATAAGAACAAGATGTGGGCTTTTTGTAAGAGCAAGATGAGAGCTTCTTTGAAGAACAAGATGAGATTCGTGGACACTCTGTTTTATTTGCTAGTTTAGATTCTTCTTAAAATTAGATTAGCTAGAATACCTTGCAATGCACTGCTAGTCAAAGTGGTGAAGGAGGGCAGTCCAAGAGAGGTATTTGAAGTGGTATTTAATTGTTGTAGCACCATAACGGTTGATCCTTCCTGAAGCTATAATTGTGCTTTATAGTCTGAGTAAAAACCCTTAGTTCAATATTTTCAAATGGCAAACTTTAAATCTACAAAAAAGAAATAACTTGTCTATGAACATTTAAATCTTCACCCAGGAAAATGAAAAGCTTATCGATCGACTCTGTTTGATCCGAGAAGCTCTACAGAGGAGGAAGAAATGTTCGAGGAGCAACCGTCTCTGTGCTGTGCCGGGGCATCGATTTGCGTAGCACCAAGGCGTCAAGCAGGGCAGAGCGTTGATCCAATCCAAGGTATATGTTTTTTGGATAGATCGTCTTTTCTCTTTTGTTGTTCCAGGGGAATGACGAACTTGGTTTCTTGCAAATGTTTTATCTCCACCGAAGAGCTTTTTCTCTGAACGAATTCGTCTGAGTCTGCTCCTGAGAAGCTTAATCTCAGCACTGGAGACCAATCCCCGGACGCAAACATGCGAATTCCAGCTCCTGCTCCAGCGTCTTTTCCCAGAGCCAACATTCGCGTGGCCGAGGAGGGAAGAACTGCTCCAAACCATAGCACAGAGGAGCCCTAAATTCAAATGTGAGGGAATTGGCAAGTTTGGATGGATGATCCATTCCTCCTCTCTTCCTTCTCGCGCAAACGAGCAGCAAGTAGAAGATTTTGCTCGCAGGATTGCCAATGTCAAGACCCTCGATCGCGGCGCGCTGCTCCACGCCTCGATCCAGAGCTGCGCGCAATGCCGCGACGATCGCTACCTCGCCAATCTCCTCGTCCAGATGTACGCACGCTGCGGCAGCCTCGAGCGTGCCCTCTCCGTCTTCGCCGGGATCAAAGATCCCAATTCCTTCTCCTGGAATATCCTCCTCCAGGCATATGCCCAGAGGGGGCATCTGGACGACGCTCGCCGGGTCTTTGACAGGATTCCATCCAAGGACGTGGTAGCGTGGACGGCTATGATGAATGCCTACGCCGAGCACGGCCTTGTGGATCTCGCACAGTGTATGTTTGAGAATATGCCCATGAGGAACGTGGTGTCCTGGAACTCCATGATTTGCGCATATGCCCAGAGCGGGCATTATAGTAAAGCCGAGGAGCTCTTTCAAATCATGCCCGTTCACGATGAGTACACGTGGACCACTATGATCTCTTCCTATGCTCTCAGTGGCAACACAGGCAAGGCTATGGCTGTGTTCCAGAGCATAGGCGCAAGAACATTAGCTTCTTGGAACGCTATTATCTCGGCATTTGCTCAGGCTGGGGATTTGTCTTTGGCAAAAGAGTTATTTGACGGAATGCCCGCTCGCAATGTTGTCTCGTGGAACTCCATCTTGCTTGTGTTTCTTCAGTTGGGGCTGGAAGAAGCCCTGGAATCGGTGTTTTCGGTTGCCATGCCGGAGCGCAACGAGATTTCTTGGAATGCTGTCTTGCAAGGTTATTCCAGAATGAGAGATTTGGAAGGAGGGAAGGCACTGTTTGATTCGATGCCTTGTAGAAGCGTGATTTCCTGGACAACTATGCTGAAAACTTACGCGGACGCATGTAGCCTTAACGAGGCGAAGCGATTGTTTGCGATTATGCCAGAGCGAAGCTCAATCACCTGGAGCGTGATGCTTCAAGCATTTGCACGGTTTGGGCATGTACAAGATGGCGAGAGTTTGTTTCAGATCATGCGAGAAACCACACTCGACGATCCCAGTTGCTTGTCAGCCTGGACCAACATGATTCTCTTATACGCCAATCACTCCAAGATCGACAAAGCTCGAGCGGTGTTTGATTCTTTGGCGTGCCTGGACATGGTCTCCTGGAACACCATGCTCGCTTGTTACGCACCCGACGTCCACCACTGCAAAGATTTCTTTGAGCAAATGCCCAGCCACAACCTGGTGTCTTACAACACTCTCTTGTCCTCACTGGTCAGCTGCCGATTATCCGAGGAAGCAGTGAAGATCTTCGTCGAGATGCCAGAGATAAACGCTGTGACATCCACTGTGATGATGCAAGCTTATGCACAGGATGGCCAGCTTGCGAGTGCCAGGGACATCTACGAGACAATGCCAGATCGCAACCAAGTAGCTCTCATCACCGTGATCTTGGCGCTCGCACAGCATGGCTACGTTCAATCCTCGAGAACAGCATTTGAGCGGTTTGAAAAGCAGCAGGACGTCACGACATGGAGCTCGATCATCGCCGCCTATGTCCAGAACGGACGCGTGAGCGAGGCACTGGATCTCTTTCGAGAGATGATCTTGCTGGCTTTCAAGCCAGACGAGATCATCTTCACGACAATTCTAGCAGCGGCAGCGAGCCAGCTCGAGCAGTGTTGCCGAGGTTTCTTGTCCATGATCGCAGACTTTGGGATCTCTCCCAGGATCGAGCATTACTACTGCTTGGTTGACGCAATGGGGCGAGCCGGTCAGCTGGAGCGAGCCATGGAAGTGGTGGAATCCATGCCATTTGTTCCACAGCCGGGCCTGTGGATGATTCTTCTGGGAGCATCGAGAATCCATCGAAATGCAAAGGTTGTGGAAATGTCGGCTGGAAAATTGCTGGGTAAGGATTCATCCAATGGTGCTACTTATATTTTACTTGCGAGCTCTTGGAACTAAACTCTTACCATAGGATAATGCCAGGTTGACAACCAACAATCCTAGTCATCCCGGAGATGCGGGTGTTGTGCCATGTAAGCTGAAAACCTATCCCACCAGCCAAGGCGCAGTTGAGGAACACCGGTATAAAAGAAATGGAGTGAGAGGTAAGGTTACTCGGGTTGCTTAGTAAATGGGGTCGCTGACCCTTGACCACTTGGCCCCCCTCGTCGGTGACCCAGTAGTGCTAAGTCGGTATGGTCAACCCCACCGTGATCTACCGGATAGCGCTTGGTACCCAGGGCGCCCAAGGAGGCCCGATATCCTTTTAGTAAGATTTTCTTGGAGGAAATCCTTTCGCGCGCAGTCATCCTTGTAAGTCGAGAACTCAGGTAAAAAAGAGGAAACGAAGTTCTTTTTGCTGCAGTTTTGAGGAAGCGGTTCTCGAGAACATCAAAGCTCATCCAGAGGATACTGAAGAGGTTTTGTGGATTTGTCTGTTCGAGACGTGATCATGCCTGCATTTCTTGTAGCTTGTGTGTGAAGAAGTCGTTCGTTCTTTTTTCTTTTTTCTGCTAACTTCACTTTTTGTTTCTTTCTTACTCATCTCGAGGAAGAAGATAGATGGCAGCCTTGGATCACTCGTGATCGAATGGAAAGACAACGTAGATGACGCTTCTCTCTCTCTTTTCTTTTTGATTCTTTTTTCAAACGTTACACTTCTTTGCAAGTCGGGAGTTACACTTCTTTTCAGTTCGATGTTTACGGTGGATTCTCTGATGAGAAAACTAAATGAGGATAACTTAAAGATAAAAAAGTCTACTGCTGGACTTGCACGAGCTCACAACCGTAGAGAACGTCACACAGTCAGGTCCAATGCCGTCGAGCAACATTCTCGTGAATTGGAGAGCTGCAAGCACAGCGTTCCAAGAATGAGATCAACCTCCAAAACTCTGGAAACTTGAAACTTGTGGAGATGTATAGGAAATGTGGAAGCATGGAGGGTGTGAGGGAGATGTTCTTTTGGATGGAGAGGAGATACGAGCAGTGTGGCCAGGAAGAAGCTCTCGAGCAGTGTTTTCCCGGACAAGATCACCTTCTCGAGTGCTGCGCCAAAAGTTCACGGGTGCTTGGGCGAACTTGGCATCCGGCATTGGCACTGCGCTCGTCAACATGTATGGGAGGTACAAAAGTCTGGACGATGTGAGGGAAACTTTCGACCAGATCGAGCGGAAAGGCGTAGCAACGTGAACTGTGATGTCTCGGAAGCAGAAGACTTTGGTGGCTTTCCAGGAGATGCTCATGACATTTCTGACGCTGCTATTTGCCAGAACAAGGCCCTCGTCAACAGGATGCCTCGGCGAGACTCCCTCTCGTGGAACTTGGTGATTTCGCGAGCGAGTCACTGCTGTTCTTCCACAGGATGAACCAGTCCAAGGAATGAAGCCACCTTTCTCAGCATCATCGCAAGGCTGCGTGACTTAAGAACGGTCTTCACTCAAGCATCCCTTGGATCCGCAAAAGTCCGCGTCGTATGTCATGCTTTCCTTTGCTATCGGCTAGCTTGCTTGAGCACTTCAAAGACTTTTATCACTGCCGAGGCTTAGGGTTCTTCCGCCAATGGCTGTCTTGTTCACAATTGGCGACAAGGACGTCAGCGTGGAGCAAGGTACTCTTTTCCTTGAGTTGTTTTCGAATGCTAGCGTTGTCTTTGCGCGCCCAGCCATGGAATTCCTAGGTTCTGTTCCACTGCTCCAGCAGCTCCCTGCCGGATTGATCAAGAAAATCGCTCACGCTCTCAAGCCAATGCGTTTTGGTATAGTACAAAGGAAGCTTTTTCTTTCCTCCCTTCTCTAATCCTTCTGTAGCTTCTGGTGAGACGCTGGTGAGAGAAGGCGAGGCGGGAGAAGGATTTTACATTGTCTGGAAAGGAGAGGTGAAGTTCTAAAAGCTTTTTTTTTTTCCCTCATGTTCGATCTCGTTAGGCTGAAGTCGCTGGTGTGAGCAACACTTTGATATTAAAACCAGGAGACTACTTTGGAAGTGGTGAGTTTGCTCCTGGAGGTAACTTTTGCTCGATCTGTTCTCCACAGTTTGTCCGGAACATCTGCAAGAGATCCACAAGGCTGATGTTGTTGCTGTTGATGAGGTCTTCATGCTTTACTTTCCTTTCTAGATCTTGATAAGGATTTATTTTGTTTTTCTCAGGTGATATGCTTAGTGCTCACACATGAGCACCATGCCTTGGTTTCTTCGGACTCTATATGGACTGACAATCAAAGAAAGGATGTGGCTACGGTGGAGAGAGTTCTTGAGCTGGACAAGCTGGATGTAAGCTTCAATGGCCACGTTGGCTTTTTTCATCTGTGCTCTTCCAGGTTGACTTGTATCGTGGTCTTACTGCGTATCCCTCAGAAACCGGGCGTGTCTTTGGTGGACAACTTATTGGCCAGGTAACTAGTTTTACAATCTTTGAACTCTACCAGATTTTTCTTTCCTTCTTTTCGTTTTCTTCCTTTCGATAGGCTTTGGCAGCCGCTTGTAAATCCGTGGATCCTTCCCTTCTTGTGCACAGTCTGCACTCTAATTTCCTCGTGGCTGGAGATGAAGCTCGTAGGCAGTTTGTGTTAGAACTAACTTGGAAGGAAGAAAGCTAAAACTCTTTTCTCTGATGCAGTGCCCATAATGTACCAAGTGGAAAGAGTACGAGATGGCCACAGGTTTGCAACAAGGTGCGTCAGAGCAATGCAAAGAGGACAAGAGATTTTCAGGCTGACTGCCTCCTTCCAGGTAAGATTTACATAATTTCTTTTTCAAGTTGATCACAATTCTTTTGTCATAGAGATTAGAGAAAAGTTTGGAGCACCAACGAGACATGCCTGAAGCACCTCGACCCGAAGATGTAATTCTTTTATTTTCTAGAGCATGGTCTTGAGTTTCTTTCTGAGTTTGCAGGTTTTGCCTAGAGAAGTTCTTGAGCAAAGATACCGAGTAGACGCCCGAATTCCCTTGTAAGATTCTTAAAGGTAGGCAATATTTGGCTCTAATATCCTTGGCAGGCGTATAAAGAAGAAGCTAGCAGCGGCTCCACATCTACAATATCCCATGGAAGTGCGACTTTGTGATCCAGTCGATCTTGTAAATCCTACTCAACTTGAACCGAGGTATTTCCTTTCTTTCTTTCTTTTTTCTGTTTTAAGGTTTAATGTCCTTTTTTATTTTTCTTTTTTAGGCAGCGAGTGTGGCTAAAAGCACGTCAAAAACTCTCAGACGATCAATCCCTTCACTGGTATGTTATTATTCTACGTTTACATCACCGGTAAAGTTTTTAAATTTTTCATATAGTTGTGTTGCTGCCTATGCTTCTGACTCTCAATTCATTGGGACGGCTCTGAGACCTTTGAGGACATCATCAGGGCAGAGATTTAGAATTTTGAGCTTAGACCACTCGTAAGCATTTATTACTCTTTTTGGTTTTTACCATGTTTTTATACGTTTTCGTATAGGATGTGGTTCCATCAACCTTTCAGAGCAGATGAATGGCTATTATTTGTGGTTAGTATGCTGTCCTGATATTGTTTTTTATTATATGATCTTTTTCAGATGGAAAGTCCTTTTGCTGGTAATGGACGTGGCTTTGCAACTGGACATATGTACACACAATCTGGCGAAGTGAGAATAAAAATCCAAAATATTATCTTATTCTAAAAATGTTTTCTTTTCAGCTTGTTATTTCAGTTGCACAAGAAGGGGTCTTTGGACCATATAAGAGATCAAAGTTGTAATGGAAGCAATAATATTCATCAATTATTTAATATAAATGAAAAAGGAGAAAATCTCAGGTTATCTTGCATAATTAGCAATATAGTTTATTATCACAACTTTCAAAATTGAATTTAAGTATAATCTGCTAATCAACTAAAAGGAATTACAATTTCATGAAAAATTCTTGATGACTATAAAGCATTTTTATGAACAAAATGGACAAGCTACATTGTTGATAGATTGCAGCTCATAGATCGTATCTAAGTAAAGATGCTTTTATTTGTTATGAAATAAGAAATCTTAACATTAAAACTAATTTTATAGCCAAGCTAATTTTGTCTATATCTATATAGTATATATTTTACACTACTCCCCCTTCAAGTTGGTAAAATGGTAGAATCCAAAAGATATATGCACTTGATATGGTCCAATCTAGAGGGATAATAGATCAGTTCTAAGGTGAGGAATCTCCAAGGTGAGGAAACTTCACTAACATTATATCACTTTGTTGATAACTCAACATATGAGCATCATAGGTTTACTTATAATACTCTTTCGCCCTTGCTTAAGACTCTAAAAATTATGCACATAATGTTGGCTATTCTCAACTCAAATATTGTAACCATGTTTTCCCCTCTAGATAACATAGGGTAATTGACATCAAACCCACAATAGGAGGTAAAACAAGCTCCCCACAAATAATACATGGAATAGAGAGATGTCAGTATACTTTTGTGATGCTAGTATATAAATAATTTGCAAATATGACATATTGTGGGTTCATATACTTCACAATTATGCCTTTTGAATATTTGATTCAATTGTTCAACAAAGTTATACATCTACCTTAAGATGATAATTAGATGCAAAAGACTACTTAATATTGAGCAACTACATCAGCAATTGAATAACTTCAAAAGCTAGGGTAGGGCCTTGATATAGAAAATTCATCAATCTTTTCAAAATCTGGCTGCACTTTGTATTTAAAAATTATAATCTTTAAATATCTCAAAAAGTTTTGCCTAAAATAACATTTTGGAAGTTTGAGTTGTTTTTCAAGTTATTGAAGCATTTATTCAACATGTCGCAAATGATCATATCACGTGCTATCAATATAGATTAACAAATTGTCTACATAAACTTATGCAAACCCTTCAAAACATTCTATCATTTCATCCATTTTACGCTGAAATGTGGTACAACTCCCCTATCAAGTCAAATGGCATCAACATGAACTCATACAAACTCGTTAGAGTTTGAAAAATTATGTTTACTACTTCAGTAGAAATTATAGGTATTATTTAATACCTCAATATTAAGTTTAGTAAAATAACAATGTTCCCTAGATTATCATCAACTCAAAATAAAGGATATGAGTCAACAACCAATATCATTTAGAAATATCATTTGTTTAAGAACAAAATATATTTTAACAGCCATAAATTATATGATTTTCAAATAACTCCCAAGTTAAATATCTCCTTCATACACTTGCTCATTTATTTATTTTAACAAGATCACTGAAAAATGCTTATTTTGATAGGAAAAGCATCTTGAGTGGAGTAACTGCAACTTGATTTGATAATATGATTAACTATAACTTATAAACTATCATCAAGATGCTATAGAATATTTTTTCTCAACTAATGCTTGAAGTTTATAAGCCCTTATGCACTTCCAACTTAATCATTCTCTATACTTTCTCAAAAGTGTGAGTTCAGCCTTACTCTCTTTCTATATATATGATACAGAGTTGATGGAAAATAAGAGGTTTATGCTTGTTTTCTCAGATTAGTCCATATATTCTCCATTCATCATTTAGTAGTGTACTCACTTGTGTTATATGAAATTTTATATGCACACACTCTTCACATGTTGTTTGCAAAATAAAAGTCTTCTATGGTTGTTATGCATGGCATATATAACTTTCCAACTTAAGGAGTATTAACACACCTTTTTATTGCATATAATGTGTGTCAATTGGTTATAAGTTATTGGGTGTAAAATCTCCTTTCTATTCTATTCTATTCAATAGTGTTTTTTTTTTTTTTTGCTGTTATAAATTATGTTTAGTATGGTTCAATGGCTGTTTTTGAAATCTTCCCACTTTGCCACTTTTGCCACATGGGCTTTTTACTATAGAGTGGAAGCTGTAAACAATAAAAAAGAATGAATTGATAATTAAAATTCAAATATAAAGGGAAAAAGGCCTATAAATAAAAGTGCACCATTTTTTAAAATTAGTTAAAACATTTTAGATATATAAAATTTATTGATATTTAAAATATTATAAATGACAATTAGAAAAATTTAAATATAATGTACTCTCAACCTTGACAATACCATAACCATAACCTTGATACTCACTGGTGTCACACATGTTATGAAGATTTGGATATACTATTGAATTCTTGAGATAAATAAGAATAAAATAACCATTAAAAGCTCTTTCATAAGACAATTGTCTATTTTCCAATTGCTTTAAAGGGATAGAGATAAAATATATTATAGCACTGTCACACCCATCATTATCACAATTCTAAGCACTATCACTCCTACCATAATCACCATATGCAATCATGCATACCATAATCTTATAGTTTGCTAGCTACTCCTCTAGCTATAAAGGAGGACTATTTTACCCTCAACTTGCAAAATAATTAAATAATTTTATATAAGAATCTCGACCAATGAGAGAACCCTAAGGGAAAAGATATTTTAAATTATTGGAGTCTTACATTATAGATTAATCTTTATTGCAATATTTATTATCTGAAGATCATAATCACAATCTATGTGGTATACATCAGCACATCATCATAGTTTAGAACACAGATTATTTGTATAAATATAATACTCAAATAATCTAAAAATATCTCTTTCTATGTTAGCACCTTACCACAATCTATAAATAATGAATTTATAAAAATAAATAAGTTACAAATAAATTAAATTATAGTTTTTATTAAAAATATATAATAATTTATTAAATAAAACTAGTAATAAATAAAAGTGTATCATATGTGCCATACATTTTCAATTAATACTTCTTGTTATATATAAAAATTATTGGTGTTACTTGCTATGAAATGTAAGTTTTTCTAAGAAATGTAAAATATAAAACTATAAATTTCAATACTGAAATGCTTAAAATTTCTATTAGAGTAGAAGTTAATATTAAAGTGTTAAAATATCAGAACCTAAATGTTATGTATAGAAGGCTCATAAATAGATATAAAAGCTTTTAAAATGTGTGTTATTATTGTTAATAATTCATCTATTTCTCATCTGTAAATTCTGAGGACATTAATTGAAATATCCTTACTACAATATTCTCCATTAAAAATTCAAAATCATTCATTTTACAAGTTTATGTTATTATTTATATTTTCTCCCATTTATAAAATTCTTTCACTATAAGCATTACTGTTAGATTTTATTACCAAGTCATTTTATCTTTATTAAATATTTATTTTATCCTTTTCTTTAAACTCTGGAACCATTTTAATTCATCCAGAGTTGAGCTTTATTATCTATAAAAATACAAAAATATTATTATAGTATTGTAATTGACTTTCAGAAGATTCACTAGTCACCAGCACATTATTTTGAATTGCAACACCAAAGTTTTAAATATACTTTAATGTTTGAATTAAAAAAAGATTTAAGAATTGAAACTCTCAAAATTTGAAATTTTCTTAATTAAATCAATTATGTCACTTATCACTTGAGATGGAATCACTTATAAATATCTTATGGTGGTTGATTTTGGATAGTATAAATTTATATATCAACAAATAAACTTGAGTAAATGTCATTATATTAGACAAAGAGCACCTTGCATTGAATATAATAAGATATCAATTAATTTTGAAAGCTAATAAGATTAAATAGTTTCAAATTAAAATAAGTTGTCATAGAATTTGACTTATTCTTAGTAAAATCTTCTGAAATAAGTCCTAGGATGGTTGCTTTTGTTGAGATAGATACTGATGTATCAATCATGTCACTTGTCACATCAGAATAGAATCATTTATAAAGATCTTAATAGTGGTTGTAGATAATATCAACAAAAGTATTCTAAAATTAAATAAATGTTGCTATAGTATAATGCTTCCAAACTTAGACAAATGCACCTTGCGTTCAATATCATATTTTTGAAGGAGGATATCAATTAATTTTAAAAGATAATCATATCAATATTAAGCTATTTTGATTTGAAAAAACACATACACCTTTAAATGACATACAGGTTTAACTTCGTCATAAAATTTGACAGATTCTTGGTCAAATCTAGGAGGCTGTTTTTGTTGAGCTAAGTCGTCATTTCAGAATGGAATCACGTGGTTAGTATGATAGTAAAATTATACATCAACGAAAAAGTCTTCTAAACTTGAACAAATATCATTATAGTATAAGATAGATAAATTGATAGATAGATAAACATTTTTAAAGTCACCACAACATCAGGTCCCATGTTGTCAGATCAAATGCGTATCCATCTAACATCCTAAAACATTTGAGTTGATCGAGAGATATTGAGAAGTGTGGTGGCTAGATCGCTCTTGGATGGTTTTCAAGCAGACGCCTCAGTACAACATTGTGTCCTGGAATATGGTGATGCTTAGCTATGGCCAAGAAGAGGTGCCGTTGGACTTGTTTGGTTGGGGCTGTATAGCAGAAACTAGAACTTCAATAGGCAAATGGCACCTTGGATTGAATATGATACTTTTTAAGGATGTAAGTAGTTTCAAATTAAGACCTTAGTTTGATTAGAGTCATTAAAAGAAAAACAGCTGAAAGTTAAATCTACACCTTTAAATAACATACAGGTTTAACTTGTCAAGATCTTGTGAAAAAATTCCTAGAGAGGCTGCTTTTGTTGAGCCACATACTGATGTATTGTTAGTCAAAGTAGTAAACCCACTTGAACAATTTGCTTCAGAAAACAAGATTCCAGACTCATTAGTGAAAATAAAACTGCATAATGCAATTACACATTAGCACTGCTTAGAACAAATGTGTAAAAAGAGGGCAATTACTTGTATCCGAAAAATGGTACAACAGAAAAACACTGATTAAGCGTTGATAGAGTCATTACAACAGTAGCACAAGAGGAATCTCTATAAATTTCAAACATACTAGAGCTTACCACACCAACCATGGAAGAAGTCGCTAGAAGCAAAATCAATCTACTCAACTCAATCATGTTCTTCACAAAGTATAAAAAAAAAAACAGACAGAGTAACTAAAATCCCTTCGATTTCTTGCACCTAAAGTGCCAATGAGCGAGCTTAACTATGATATCTCCCTAGGAAAAGAGAAATAAAGAAAGAAAAGGTTAAACTATATTTCAAAGTAATTTTCGAAGCCACGTGTGTTTTTAGGGTCGGTCTACACGTCATCACATGTTTTAGGGCTCGTTATGGCCGCGGCAGTGGGCTGCGCGGCCCAGTGCTCCTTCCTCGCCGGGAGGAGCTCACTCTGGGCAAGGACCGCGGTGCCACCTCCAGGTACGTAAACGCAAAGCTCTCTTGCTCCAGGGACCCCGCATTTCATCTCACGGCCTCTTCTTCCCAGCAAGTCGCGGGTTGTCCATCCGGGCAGCGAGAGCTGGACTGAGTGGTGGATTGCTGGGCAGTGGAGGCTGGAGGAGGGGGAGGAGGAGAGCATCACCGCCGCCATCGCCCACGACGAGAACGAGGGCCCAGAAGAGCCCCGAGGACGTGCCGGCGTTCAAGGGCTTCCCGCCAATGCAGGGCAAGCCGGCGTGGTACTGGCGGCTGCTGGCGCTGGTGCCGTACATCATGCCGCTGTGCGAGTCGTGGATGTACGCCGAGACCGCCTACAACCTGCACTGCTTCATCGAGCAGTACGAGTTCTGGACGTACCCGGTGCTCCGCCTGCTGGGCCGCCTGCCCTCGTGGTTCCTCCTCGCCTACTTCTTCGTCGCCTACCTCGGCATCGTGCGCCGCAACGTCTGGCCGCACTTTTTCCGCTTCCACGTCGTCACGGGGATGCTGCTGGAGATCATCTTGCAGGTGATGGGCACGCTCAACGACTGGATCCCGCATGGGATCTACTGGGGGAAGATTGGCGCACACTTTTGGCTGGCGGTGTTTTGGACCTACTTCTTGACCACGCTCGAGACTATCCGCTGCGCCATCATGGGGATGTACGCCGACATTCCCTTCATCTCGGATGCGGCCTACATGCAAATCCCCTACGACTAAATTGTGCCATCTCTTTCTTTCTTTGCAACCAAAAGTTCCTCTTTTTTTTCCCAACATTTATTTTTTCTTCTGTTTTCTTTTTTTTTTTTGTTGCAAAGTTAGTACAAAAGGTTCGTAAACCCGATTACATTACGTGGATTTTACAGACTTTATCTGGCCACGTATTTCGGAACACTTGTCGATCGTTGGAACTGCCCAAAGCGCTTTCATCTGGGGCGAGAAACTTCGAAAAATTAGAAGTGCGAGACAGAGAACTCCACAGCACAATGGGGTCTGGAGGCTACAATGCAGCGCTTCTGTGCCTTGCGAGCATTGGAAGCACCTGGAGCGATGGGAACAAAGTAAGCGTAGCTTTCCTTAGCTTTTCGTCACTCTTTTCTTCGCGACAGGATCCCAAGGAGACTGTTCAGCAGCTTCGCATTCCCGTTCCGGAAACCACAGTTCCATTTCTGGGATTCGTCAAAAGCCTCGCCTTGAAACATGTAAGGGAGAAAAAAAAAAAAAAAACTTGCTTAAAGAACATAGAAGCTTGTAGACTTACTTGGAAGCTCTTCTTCATCGTTTTTGATCTCCGTATAGCTCATCTGCGGCACCATAGCAGGGGCGGTGTCTTCGGCGTCGTGTGCTCCACTCGGGGTGGCTAAAACGCGAGTGATCGCTCGGAGAGGAGGAACCTCCACGCCGGAAGTCCTAACCAACTTGTCCAAGAAGCCTGGAGGCATTCTCGGCCTCTTCCCGGCCTCGCTCTCTAGCTGGATGATGATGATCTTCATTGGGTCGCTCAAGAGGGGCGTCCAGTTCCTCACCTTTGAGTCCGTCAAGAGGAGCGAGGAGAGAAGACACGCCAGAGATCCCAAGGTTGTTCCACTGCTGCCGCGAGAGGTCTCCATTTCCACACTTTCGGGAGCTCTCTCTGCTGTGACTTCCCTGCTCGCTACGTATCCCTTCAACACTATCCAGGACCGGTTGATGCTACAAGTAAGTCCACTTCCTCTTGAGATTTCCTCACCTGCGTTTGCACTGTTTCCATTTGACCTTTCTTTTTTGTCCAGCCAGAAGATTACTCGTCAACTTTCTCGGCTTTTGGTAAAGTTCTTCGCGAGGAAGGTGTCCGAGGCTTGTACACGGGGCTGGGGCCCGAGCTTCTGCGGATGGTTCCCAGCGCAGCTGCCGAGTTTTACGCCTACGAGGCCCTGAAAAACAAGTTCTTAGATCCCGCAACCAAAAACATCGGAGTTGTGGCCTCACTCGCGATTGGAGCTGCTGCTGGAGCTTTATCCACGACTTTGACGTACCCCCTGGAGCTGGCAAGGAAGGAGTTGAGCTTGAGTGCTGTTCCTAACACCGCCTTGCACTTCTCCAGCACCTGGGACGTTTTGAGAGCTGTGTCTGCTCGCGAAGGATTCAGAGGCTTGTACCGAGGACTCGAGCTCGACTTGCTCCAGATTGTGCCACCAACGGCAGTGTCTTTTGCAGTTTATGAGGTGATGAAAAGAGTTCTGATTGCAGTTGCCGAGGAGAAGAGAAACGAAGTCAAGTAGAAAATGTTGGGGGGAAACGAAGCGAAGTCAAGTAGAAAATTTGAACGGAATTGAACACCTTTATTTACATGCATGTGTTTTCTTCAAAAGCAGAGCTTCCCTCATCCTCTTCCTGCTGCAGTTTCAAGTTAAAAACGAGTGACTGCCTCTGTAATGCCTTCTTACCTTTGGAGTAAATTTCAATGCAACCATGACTTCTCCCTTGACCTTGCCGGATGGTCGAATAACATTGTAGGATGCCAGCGGATGATCAAGCTCAGACAGGACTCTGTTCAGTGGCACCCTGAAAATTCAAAAGGAAACTCATGAACAATCCGAAGACAAGATTCTAAGACATTACTTAGCACTGCCAATAAAGTCGTCTCCAGTAAATCTGTCTTCATCATACAGCTTGATAAAAAGCTCGCTCACTCCGTCTTCAACCACGAACAGAAACTTCTGGTTCCAAATCGGGTTGGAGCCTTGTCCTGCAAATCAAGTTTATATCGTAAGAAGAACAGGGAGCTAGTTGGCTTACTCTTTGCAGTGGTGCTCTGAAATCTCTGCCTCCAGCAAGTCAGGATAGCATAGGGATCGCATTTCTCTGTGTCAGATAGAAGTTCAGCAAACAAAGGAAGGCAAGATCAGTCACCGATACTAAGGAAATCTGTGTTTTTGATGCCGGTAGCTCCCCGGAGATGCACCTCGAGCGCCCCTTTCACCATAGCCTTCAGCCTAAAGATAGTCAATAGACCAGGTCAAGCACGGTATAAATCACAGTAGAATTTTTAATTCGAACCTGGCCTTGCTGTTCCATCAGCGTCTACGAACGAGCAATGTGAATACCAAACAAAACTCACCCTTTCAAAAGATATCAGGAAGCTACAACGAATTCAAGAAGCCAAGAATATAAAATGGCAGAAAACCTTCACCAAGAAAACTGTTAGCTAAATTGGTGTCTAAATGGTTGTGCAACTACGGGAGCTCCTGGAGAATTAAAACTGTCCTCTCCTGTCACAACTTGGAGCTAAGATTTTGTGGCCTGACGAGACCTTGCTGGACGGCCGTTACCACCAGCTGCAGCAAAAACAAAGTGAAGAAATATGTCAAAGCTTGAAGTTACAAACCAACCTCGCCTGACTGATTGTACATATGTCCAATCACTAGGCCCCTGGAGCCGCTTGCTCGTGGACTTGTGATCTGTGAAGAGATGTTTATACCACGAAAACATACCATTAGGCACTGAACCTGGAAAAGTAGCCACTCGTCTGCCTTGATATCTTTATGGAACCACATCCTGTAAAGCTTGAATGAAGAATGTGATTGTTAGAAGCACTCTTTGCTTACGAGTGGTCTAGGCTCAATAGACGGTACTTCGCCCGCCTGTCTCCTTCGTAAGGCCTTAAGACCGTTTGGACGAACATCCAGTCAGACGCATAAGCCACAACACACCTGATACATGAAACGTAAAGAGAAGTTTTAAGTTTTCAAGTACCTCACCGATGCAATGCTTGATCGTCTGGCAACCTTTCTTTACAGCGAAGCCAGAGGTTTTGGCTGTATGAACAAATATAAACAGATAAATACACAAGAGCAATGAAGTACCTTGGTTCTAAATTTCGTGGACTTATATGGTTGTTTGGCTCACACTGCCGAACATCTAATGGATGAACTTTCATGGGATAAAGGGCAAGATTTTCCCTCATTTTCCTAACGAAAATTTTGTCAATAAGTCTTACATGGAAATAAAGTCTTACATGGGAATTCTTGGATCACCTAGTTGCGACAGCGTTGTCCGTTCGTGGGACCGGAGCTACATTTTTACAGCTTTCAGGGATAAAAGAACAAATAAAGCACAAGCACAAACCCGAGTTGGATCTGGTGTATGAGGCATAGGATCCTGGTACGTGATACTCTCTTCTTGTCTCTACAAGAAATCAAAGAATGTTATTTTCAAAGCTGACTGCATCCTCACCTGAAATGACGCCAACAAAGTGAAAACTTTTCGGCCTCTCTGGATTGCAGTCACATTTCGAGTCGCGAAGGCCGGGCTGTCTCGAATTTTTTCCACTTTGTAAGAAACTGGCACTGAAACACGTCGACAGAGGGACATTTCTAGACCCAAGCATTATAAACACTTACAAGAAAAATCCCCAACGTAGAGAAAGTATGAATGAAGGCTGTGAACTGATAGGGATGGTTCCACGGACTTCACAGCTGCAGCTAGAGCCTGTAGAAAAAGTTGCAAAACCTTCCTCATGTACGCAGAGCATGGCATCATACCTGACCAACAAACTGTCCACCAAACATTACTTTTCGAGGAGGTTGCCCCTTCGGGCCGAATAAAACCCCGCATGGTGCTCCTTCCAAATTATTTCCTTGCCAGCAGTCCTCCTACAGTCGATGTGTAATTTGAGAAGGCAGACGCAAGGAAAGCACTTACTTCCAAGTTTTCAAGCCGCAACATACGTTCCACCGTTAAGCCTTGCTTCCATAAATAATCCGGAAACAAAAGTGCAATATCTGTATGGTAGAGAACTAAGCATATGACCTGCAATAAAAAATTCCTGTAAGAAAAAAACCGAGGTAATACAGAAACCAACCTCGTCCCGAGCAGCAACAGTTGTCTCAAGAATGTCCTCGGAATCGAAGCCAACTGCAAATGAAGGGAACCCACATGAGCGCCTTAAGAAACATCTCGAAAACGCACTTGTTCCGAAGTAGTGCCCATTTCCTAGTACGCACTCAGCTGAGTCGATAGTAGACGCGACGACAGCCTGTGTCAAGGCAGGACTTTGAAAATGATAACTTGAAAGAGGGAAGAAGCTCACTTGTCCCTTCCAGACGTAATAGTAGCCATCACCGGTCGTGCCTTTGTGGACGATCACTTCTCCAGCTCCTATAAAAATATGATCGATTCATGAAGAACACGGTTTTGTGACATACCAAATCGTTTAGGAGAAACAGCTCGAGCAACCTTGACAATATCGGCTTCAGACAGCTGCTGTAACCAGGGAATTGCACCAAAAAACTTCACCACTGCACAGATCAAACAGCTGAAACATTAGAACGGATAGAATTCCAAACACCCACCTTCTTGGTGGCGATCTCCCATCCCTTTACTCGACTTAACCTACACACAGTCCAATACTAAGAAAAAAAAAACAACAGGTCATACTATTATGCACGGTACGTCACTGGAAGAAGGTTACAAATTCGTGAATACTCCAGCTAACTTCTCGTACATTGCCGCCTGTGTGTAAAGCTCTTTAACTTTGTCCCTGCCTTTCCCACCCATTTGCTTTCTCAAAGCGGGACTCCTCAGTAAAACTAGAACGTTCTGAGCAAGTGCTTGCGCGCCTTTGATTCCCACGGGATGGAGAAGGCCAGTGACGTTTGCGTCTACGATCTCTTTGGTTCCACCCGCATCCGTCCCCAAAATCTAGCAAACAGAGTTAGCAAGCTCACTAGCTAAGGTAGCAGAAAGAGCTTACTGGCAATCCAAAGGCCATGGCTTCGACAGTAACTCTACCAAAAGTTTCTCCTATGCCCTGCAAACAAGCACCATTTATAAGATGGAACTACAGATATGACGAACCTGTGCGTTCATGATGTACGCATCGGCTGCAGCGTATAGAGCCGAAACTGACACACTTGCTGGAGTCCACAAAACGGAGTCTGCTAGCGCTGGATGCTGGTGTAGAAAGCTCAGCATCTTCTCGACATACTCCTGCTTGTTACTCTTAGAACCGACTGATCCAATGAGAAGCTTGAGATTCGACGCCGTGGACTGATTCATCTTTTGCTCCATCACACTCGCAGCCGCATATAGAGCTATAAGCTGTCCTTTCCCTGGATTGATGCTGCTCAACGTAGCAAGAAGTACGTCGTCCGGTTTCAAGCCCAGATCTTTTCTCACCTCTTCCCTCAGCTTTGCCATCTTCAGTGCGTCGTCTATCCCTGCTGCGGAGAGAACGGCATCGTTTACTGACAGGCTCACGATAGTCGTCAATGAAGGGAGGCTTATGTTCTCTCCCCTGCTCCATTCTCTCCATTGGTCTGCTTGGGTCTTGGAGAGAAAAACCAGTGCCCGGACTTTACCAAGAATCTGCTTCGAACGATCGAAGTACAACCGGCGGTTTTCCATCACCCACCAGACAACTTTGCTAGCTCCTTTCTTGTGATATCTGAGGTACTCTCCTGTACATGCATACGTCAGTCAACCCCGCGAGTCATAAACTGCAAGCTTATCGTACCAATCCATGAGGCACATAGAGCTGAGCCAGCGATGACGAGATCGGCCTTTGCTGCTGCCCTCCAGCTCTTTGCTGCCTTGTCTGCCAGAACGGGAATTCTTCTTTGAACGAGCTCGTTTAGTAGACCACCTCTTCTATCAAGAACCACCACGGAGACTTTTCCACCGCAACCAATTATCTCGCTCGCAAGCTCCATCATTGCCAGAGGACTTCCAGTCATCGAGAGTTCGTGCATTAGCACGACTACACGTTTGCCGCTCGCGAACTCCTTGAAACGGCCTTCGTCTGAGCTGCATGTTCGAGCTGGTGTCTTCTTCTCGGTCGACATTCCCAGAAACTTCTGTTCCAATTCGTCGTAAGGGCCGACAACTCTACCAAGAAAGTAATCTCCAGATTGCAGAGCTTGAAACCTCTTGAAATTCATGTCGGACGAATTTTGTATGTACTGGAAAGTCCTTCGGTGCTCGATAATATTAGACTCGACTTGAGCAGTCCCTGGCAAAAGAGGAGCGGTCCTGTTCTTCTTCATGTAGCCCAGCCAGATCCAATCTCTAGCCAGTCTCGACAGCCCCGACTTCACGGAATTCTCGTCACTTCGACTCCTCAATGCAACATGTCGTCTCAATTCCTCACCATCTTCCGCTATCACGTTCTCAATTGTGGCCGGATCCTTAGAGTACACCTTAAAAACCAGAAAGACCCAAAGTGCGATGAGAAACACCCACGGTAACCTCCGATTGAAATATCTCGGCAACCAGTAAAACCACCGGAACAGTAAACTGGAGTCTTCATCCTTCCTTGGAGTCCTCACGGTCAGAGAATGCTGCCTCCTGAACGATGGAGACCCATGAGGACTTGAAACTGATCGGCTGGTCCTCGAACTTCTGCTAACGCGCAGTGAAGGTGGTCGTAAGACGTTGCCCAGCAAGTCGCCTGAAAGCTCATCTTCCATGCTGAATTGTAATCCTCCTTCCTCCCAGCCAAGTAGAAAACTTCTAGCTGGATCCCAGCATTGCTCTTCCCTGCTCTATTTCCCTGTCGCTCTTGGATTCTCATGAGGCTCCATTTCTATCGTCCAGCAACCTCATAGAGCCCTAGATCTGTCCAAAACAGGGCGCCCAACAGCCCGGCTATTGATCGCATCTGAGACTTAACTTAGAAACAAGCGATATAAAACTTACGCAGGTTTTGCTCCGTCAAATAGTGAACAGCCCACATTCCCTGCATTATAAATAAAAAGCGCCCAGTGTCACACGGCATCAGCCAGTGAATAAAAGGGAGTTCCATGACTTACTATAAAAGTTCTTCTCAGACGTACTGGCTGGCCACGACTTGCACCACCGCTGAAACTCGGAACGTGTTTCCTTGAAGAAGATCCACAAGTTCATCGAATAGGAACGCCGTTCGCCAACCCCAGCCTTTGGGAGCTTTGGGGAGAAGTGTGCCTCCTTGGGTTAGGCTGCCTAAAGTCATAACACCTCGCTTTGCAGGACATATCAACTGAAAGAAAAGGCAAAAGATGTAAGTTTTTTGGAAAGAAAACAAGAATGTTTCTTCACTTGCCTGATACCGTGCTGTCACCTTTTCTCTCGTGTCTATGTAAAGAGAAACCTGCACAGACAAGCACATTCATTAGAAGCAAGAATTCCGGCTGTACTTTCTACTTTTCTAAAAGGTCCAGAATCATCCGCTTTCCGCCGATGTAGAAACAATCCTGAAGATTGAAAACAATCAGAGCTTGTAGGCCCTTATAGACATGAAAAACATACCGAGTGTTCGCCTGCAGCGTGGGTCTTCATCATTAAAAGCCTGAACGCTCACCTGAGCCATGCAAAAGTTCATTGTCATTAAATTAAGCTCAAGAGGAAAAAGCGAACGGAGGGTACCTTCCAAAGCGAGCCCGCATAAAACACTTCAGGTGAGTGCTTCGACTGTCCATCTGTTAGTCTCTGCACGTCATCAAACTCTACCCTGCGACAAGCAAAGCCATCAGATCAATACAAATGGCATTTCAGTACGTACCCGAAGCGAAATGGAGGGAAACTTCGCAAAGGCGTTCGCAAATCCAGGGATATTGTTGACGACCCCTGGCCAATCTCTCTTGAGGCCAGTTGAACATCAAGCTTCTCAGAATTGACGGATTCTCCGGTCACTGATCTTTGAAGCGTTTGATCCTCTGGCCGGCCATTGTTATCTGACTGAACTGGAACGCTGCTCATCCCCTGGCTCAGTCCGACCACCATATTCAAGCCATCCACAGAATAAGTTGGCAAATCCATTGCCGTGTAGTCAACCGCTTGATCGTTTGCTATGAGCTGCTGCTGTTGGTTCCCCCTGTGTGGACCAGGGAAAGGTACTCTCGAAAACATTATACGAGCTGGCGGCCATGTAGTACCATTGCGACCGATACCAGCGAGGCCGTCCATGCCTCCTCTGACATGGACTCTGGCTTGCCCGTTCGATGCAGCAGGCAAGTTTTGATTCTCGGGCAGCGGATGAATTCCTAAAACTTGGCTTTTGTCTTGCTCTTCCCGGTAAGGAATAGGCGTCGAGATTCGACCGTGTGGTGGATAGACATACGACTGCCTGCACTGGCATAAAGCGAGAGAAACGCTGCAGAGTTTGCACGTATCCGCGGCAACGGACAAGACTTGTTGCCTGAGAAGTGTCTGCAACAATGACAACAAGTCTCATATCATATAGATGTAAAACTTCCAACTTAAGAAAGACATACCTGTAACCAAAGCCCGTCGGCAACGGACTTGCAAGGAAATCCCAGCTCTTCGAGACGAGCTCTTGAGTCTAGCAAGTCCTCAAAAGGCATGTGACAATAGTGTATCCCTCCACTTTCAAAAACGCTTATGAACGTTTCCCATTCGTCGTTGTTGGTCCAGTCGCTGTTTGGGTAAGCCTTCATTGATTTTCGCCCAACCAATCGTCCACCCCAAGATGGGGACGGACGAGCCCAGTTATGGGAAGAAGATTTTGTTGAGGACGAACATTCGCCGCCACCACCTTTCCAAAACTCTTCCCGAGCAGCCTCCATTCTACCTGTAATATTTGCCTCCAAACCCAAGCTCGAGCCACGAGTGACCTGTTCTTTGGCAGTTGTGGCTGTATCCACCATCTCCAAGATGATGCTTTGAATGGCTTGGACGACGTCGCCCTCGTTGTTTTGATGAGCTTCGGCTTGGTATGAACCACCTGTTTCTTCGGTCCTCAACGGCATAACATACACGTCCGAGGACGTGTCTCCAAGACCTGTTTCCGAGAGTTCATCCGAAATGGAGGACGAATCAATCTCCGTAACAACACCTCTAGCAATGAGCACACTCAATGCTAGCTCGAACCTAAACCGAAAACCAAGACGTCAGCTATCAGAGCTGCTGCTGCGATTTATGTGCTACCTTTTCTCTTCGCTAGGAACCCAGAGCTCGTCAGACGTTAATAACGTACGTAGAGTTTGAGCTGAAAGTTTTGGAAGAATCTGCAGCAGCGGAGCAGTGTAAAACAAAAATCTATTTCGTGAAATGAATGTCACCAACCTCTCGAAGTTCGACTGCAGCACCACGGCACAGATATCCCCAGCACGCCTTCTGGACGCGCTCTCCGTGGATACCATAATCTTGCGTCTCTGCGAAGGCCTACGAAAAAAACGCAAACACATATTACTAGCTTGCGCCGCGAACGACAAAAGCTTAGTCGCACGCACCTGGTACGACAAGAAGTTCTCAGTCCAGAGCTCGGAAATAATGAAATCTGTGCAAAAGGCGCATAAATCCTGCAAACACATGATACTTTGCCTCGTCAGAAATCGACTAGAATATTTCTTTCTTTCACCTGTAAGTCTAGAAACGACGCGGCAGCAAGCACGCGAAAGGCATTTCCATCGTCTAGTCTCGGCTGATGGCCATATAAATAACTCAGAGCAGTCGCCACTGCCTCGGCATTTACGTTCTCGTCGTCAATTTGGAGCTTCACTTCGGTAGCACTGGCTTCCTTCCATGGTCCCTGGAGCATATTTCTTACAAACAAACACAAAACACGCAGTCGCTACCAAGTACGAAGAAACCCTCGCAATACCTGAAGAAGGAGCTTCGCGACAGCAGCAGGCGATGGAGATAGAATGTGGATCCCATGGCATGAACCACAATATCTGAGAATGCCCTGGAATTCCAGCCCTGAGCTTGAATGTGCTCGCACAGAGCTCCCAGATTGCCGTCGACATGAATTTGCGACCTGATTCCACCGGCGCCAGCGCCGCTGCTATCGCACGCATTGCTAGCTGCACTGGGCAGCGCCATTGGAACGGAAGGAGAAGCGGAGGACGACGACGCCTGACGCATTCCTGGAGGAGGAGAAGACATCCGCTTTGCCCTAAAGCGTTGCCATCTGGATAATCACCTCATTAGTTCCTAATTAAATTTTAGACATCAATTGAAGAAGATCTCACTTTTAGCTATGAAAATGTTGTCATTTTATTTTATTTTCTGGTAAATTTAGAAAATCACAGACACCAAATATTTTTATTTCTTTTAATTGTATCATACAAACATATAAATCCAGAATTTTTTATAGCAAAAGTTATTCTTCCATACAAATTGCATTTTAAACAATACTTTCTTGTTGACCATACAATCTTTCTTATACCTTTTATCACAAAATTTTCTTCTAGTTCTACTTGCAAATAACACTGTTTGTCACTATTACTTATAAAACTTTCCCATCTTATTTTTTTGGGTAAATAGTATCTATCATATAATATAAGGTTACAATTTGACTCCATTGTCAAAATATACCTATGGTTTAAATAATACAAACTATTACCTTCAGGAAGATAAGTTCCTATAAACTGATTAGGACCACTTGTAAGTTCATAAGCATGTGACCAACAAGAAGTTAAATCATAATCATTTGATGTTAAATATGTATTATTACTAAGAAAATCTACTGGATGAAGTGGAGGATCAAAATCAGGATCTCTAGTAGATTTTCCAGTATTTATATACTCAAGCTCATAATTTTCACAAGTAATAATGAGATGACCCCAAGCATTAGCTAATGCTTCTCCTACTAATTTTGGATATATCTCTCGTAATCCTTTAAATTATTGTTTACTAGTAATTTCTACTACTGAATTAGGATCCATAGAACAACTAGAATAACCAATAGCTGATTCTTTAAAGCTGCGGAAAATAATTATTGTATCAGGAACAGTTTCAGAATCAACTACACCTGTTGCACCTAATTCATAAGTCTCATCTTCATTATATAATCTTCAAGCATTAAGGAAACAATAGCTATAATTCTATTAATATAGAAATTTGAAAAATGCCCTCGGTTATTAGCAAATCTAACAATTTGTGATTGAATATTACCAAATAAAATTACTACAAGTATATTAAACCATATTCATAGATACTTCATCATTCAATCAAAATAGAAATAAAAATGAGCTTGCTTTGCTTATCATTGATAATAGTAAAAAACGAATTGTTTTGGTTATAACAAATGGAATTCTAGAATTTACCTCTATTTTTTAATATAAAATAAATACAACTGTTTCAAATATAAAATATTGCGTATTCACTCTTTATTACATTGTTTATTTCTTAGTAGTACTATGCTACTTAATTAATTTTTATTTTTATATTTATTTTTAATTTATTTAGTATAGATTTATAATATGTAAACTAATTTAAAATAAATTTTTGTACACTTGGTTTGCTTTGATATAAAAATATTATAATATATAATAAATATTTATTAAAAATTATTAAAATAAACCTTTATAAACAAGTTTTGTGAAAGTGATTAGATAAACTGTAAACCTCTAATATATATTTAATCATTAAAAATTTATTTGGATTAGATAAGCCATTACTAAGATTTTCATCTTTTCTTGAAACTAAATAAATTTAATAGCATTCTCTTATGACATGGTTAAGGTACTGACAAAAAAATTAGAAAATTGATTTGGATGTGCAAGCTTTATCACTCAACTTGCCTCTAGGCTTAATAACTCTCAAAATAGTTAGTAGGGGTGGATTCCCCTGGAAAGAGTTGAATCAAGTGAAGGATCGTGATATAAAATGACAGTTATGATGCCTTCTTGCATAATGCTATTTTCAAAGCATAACTCAAGAATAAAAGGCTAAAGATTTTCCTTTTTCTAAAAAGATGCTATAGACCAACATTGCTATCTAATAAGGGAGAGTTTGATTTATGCAAGATCACAAAAGGTTTGACCAAGCTAAGAAAACCTGTAAGTAGTGATGTACAAAAGAAATTAATGAAGAGACTTCAAAAAGAATAGATAAAAAATAGATTAATTTGTTATTAAAATTAACTCCCCCAAGAAATTAAGTTGTTGATGCTCTCAATCCAAGTATAAGTGGCAATATCTATTTAGATACCTTGTGTGGCTTATTAGAATCTCACTCTAGGTATAAAATCTCAAACCATGGAAAGGAAGAGTAATGGTTATTTTATTTAATGACTAAGGGTATGGTTACGTAGTGAGGAAGTCCCAAAAGTTAATGAGATTTAATGATCAAGTTTTCAAACTCTAGTTTACTAGTAGTAATGGTGAGCACTACCATAGACAAAAAAAGACTTGATAAGGACCAAAGAAGGGATATTTAGGGATGGTGTTCCTTATGTTTTGATGCATTTTAAGGATGGTAAAGTGTGGTTAAACAAAGACCATTTATGGATGGATGGCACAATCTTGGAAAAACAAGTTCTTTACCACCTAACCACCCCGAAGACTATTATAAGCCCTTAAAGGTGAGATGACTTTTGACTTATTAATTAGCTAACACTTAACAATTCCTTCCCTCCAACCCCAATCCCAACCCCAACAACAAAGTCTAAGGACAAGTTATATAAATGATCAACCTTTCTAGAGAATCATCTATAGTTATATATATCAAGGAATAACTAGGTTCTTCACTCTAAAATAGTGTAGTTTTTAACTACCTAATATAAAACATTAGATGAGTTTTCACTTCAATTGGTTATTGCATCCAATAAGCCATCTTATCAATGCACTATAACACTTAATATGGAGTAACATATATATAAAAAAGCTATCACTTTTACCACTCTACAAAAGCATTAAAGTGTTCTACTACTCACTCAATGGAAAGATTATTCACACAAAGATGAGATCTTCCACTTTTTATTTCCAGAATTGATAATACTCATTGGCAAACTTCTTTGCTTTGTATTAAGCCATCTACAAATTCAGTGTATATACCATTAGAATCTTATTAAGTTTTATACTTGATCACTTATCTCTAAATCAAACTTGTGTTGAACATCCTTGCTTAAATGCAATCCTAACTCTAATATTGTTTAGGATGCATAAGGGTTATTATTGTTTATCCAATCCAGTGGTTCTTAATTTTTAAGAATATTTACTTTAACTTTAAGGATTGAGCTTGATTTCATATGTTGGCTATTGTTATGGATGAATTGCATCAATATAAGATACAACTAACTTTTGGGATCCTTAGTGTGATGTCTGTCATTGTCATAACTATAGCCTAAATCCATGAACAAAATAAAAGAGACAAATGGAGAGGAAAATTTTCCTAATACTGAAAACTTTTATGACATAAATGTGGTTCTACAAACCAAATTTTAATTATAATTATAAATATATAATATTAATATTTTATGATATAAAGGCTCTGCAAACCAAATATTAGTTTATAATAATAAATATATAATAAAAAATTATTTGAAAGCTTATAAATTTATTAATTCTTTATTGCAAGAAACTAATTTGAGAATATTAATTTAAATATGGATTTTAAAATAAAGGCATGTCTTTATGCAAATAAAGTAGTCCTTACATATCAGAGTTTATGATAATAAATTATTTTTCTGCATTGTGCTGTTTTCTTTGGTTTACTAACCGAAAGTTTTTTGTATTGTATATTGGTATATTGTTTTCCTAACTCAAAATAGATGAATAATGTTAATCAACTTTTAAATAAAGTAACTACTTTGTTATTAACCAAAATTAATAATAATATAAAGCATCAATTTAATTATTTAAGTAAATCAAAAAAAATTATGAAAACATAAGTATAAAGTATAATGATAAATATTAGAGTTTAATATTTAGTTTAGCACTAAAACATTCACACAATTTTTCCTCATGAAATATATATATATTGTTATAGTTCTTTACTCATATATTTATGTAGCTTATACTCAGAAGGAGTTTCATTATGATAATTATGGAAATAATGGAGCAATGCCAAAGCAAATAAATATGGATATAATAATTACTTCCTTTTATCATTTCATAACGGAATCATTACCTTCAGGTGGAACTACACCAGAGCATTCTACATTTCATACATTCATTATTGCAGATATTTTAGAAGATACAACATTAACAATAGATATATTATTTGTTATTATATCTGCTAGTATAAATTGTCCATTAGACAATAATGGTATTCGTCAAATTAACAATGATAATACTAGAGATGTAATGTTAAGAGTTGCTAGACAAACTTATATTTCTGTCCGAAATGCAAGGGCATTATATTTTATGAGTATTGTTGTTCAACATGATATTGGTATTTTTTTAATATTATATCAAATCCGTGGATATACTCTTAGAATAACTCCTCGTTATAATAATAATGCATTTTCAATTCCATATAAATTTTGTAATTTCTTAAAAAATATATAATTTAGTGGATATAAAGTTTTGTTTATTGCCACACTTAATGCTGGTGAATTTTTAGTACATCTTTATAAAGCATATGTGTTTTTAGTACAACAAGATTGTAACAGTGTTTTATATTACAAAAATATAGTTTTATGGAATACTAAAACATATGGTAAAAGTTTTGATTGAAAATTCAGATTGCAAGAAGATGGAAATTTTGTTTTATATTCTGCATTTGATTTAAAACCATTATATGCAACTGGAACTTATTGTAAGAAATTTAATTGTGTAAACCCATCAATGCTTATTCTAAAATTAAATTGTAATTTAATTTTATATGAAGATGGTAAACCTTCTATTCAAATGTGGTCAAGTAAAACAATATGTTATAAATAATAAGTTTAAATGTAATCATAAAGTTAAAACTATTGAGACTTATTTTCCAATATATAGTGTTTATTTTTCTATTATTACTCAAATATAATCTCATAACTATTCAGCCTTTAGTAATAATATAAACATTGTATTTTAAATCTGGATTTGAACTAAAGAAGAGCCTATTTTTTGTTTACTTTATAAAAATACAATAAGGCCCATGGGCCAACAAGGAGAATCAAAGCAAATACTAACAGAAGACATTGGCAAGAGCACATTTTAATAAGAAAGATTTTTATGATGAGAAAGATC